AAAACCTTCAGTTGTTTTTTGTTTATTCCAAAACAAACATTTAAATAGCCTATAATTTTAATTAATTTTTCAAATGTGAAACATTTGGTTAGCATTGAACCCGCTACTTTGAATGTATTTCTGTGCAAGCTTCTATTAAATAGCCTACACTTCATTTTTCTACTGATAAAGGTTTCTAAATCTTTCCACAACAATCTTGAGTAAATACAAAAACAGATGCATTTTTCTTTCTAGTGCAGATTGAATATAGGCTATATAACGTTAATAGGCTACAGTAGGCTATAATAATAAATAAAAAAACTATAAAAAATACTTACAGACTCTGGGAAGCAACACTTTACAATAGATGGTTAATAAATGACATTTTTGGAGTATTTAATCTGTCAACTGTCACTCATTGCATGGCTTTACGAATTTGAGTTTATATTCAGAGATTATGATCATATAAGAATCGGTTAATGAGCGAGTATGAGGCTTTCTCTGTAAAGTACTATGCTAAACCTACAATGTCAAAAGACATGAAAATTTCAATATGTTTGTTTAATGTACTCGTGTTTTAAATCGATAAAAATAACCCGAATTCTGACGCATGCGCGCGGCTGGAACCCCCCCCCCCCCACACACACACACACACACACACATACACACTCTATCAGCGTGAAACTTCCTCTCGGACGCTCAGTTACTGTTTAAAGCAACTCTAAGTACGATTTTTTACCTTAAAATAAGTTTGAATTTGGACTCCAATAGACAAGCAGGCAGTGCTAACACCAGGAACGGAAGCTGGTAATATATTCACAGATTTGAACTTCCCACATCAAAAACTCGAGAGCTTAAACGTTGTTAAAACACAAATGACACTATATTCAGTCATAGTAATGTAGACAACAACACAATTTTCCTCAAAACGAGCTTAAGTTGGTCAGAATAGGGGACCGTCCTCTTTTGTTTTGCACATTTAATATGACGAAGACGATTCAGTGTCTTCACGGTTCACACACCACTGCTCTCCTGTGGGTTTGGCCACCAGTGTTTACTAAAAGCAAAAAGAAACAGAACAGTTGTACCTCTCAGAAATACAGAGGCAGGGTTGCTAATACAACGCTATATCAATTCAACTGTGTAAAACACATATGACGTGTCCAGAAATCAATTTCAGTTTTACGCTGAGAATGTATACGGATCCTCGTGTGGGGTTTCCTCATTCAAATCATCTATAATAGTTATATATAAAAAACATGTTTCATAAAATATCATCTTGAAATGTGAAATTTGTGTGTTTACTAGTTTCCATATCCGTCCTTCGGATTAGATGTTAAACTGAGGTCCTGACTCTCTGTGGTCATTAAAAATCCCAGGATGTCCTTCGAAAAACAGTAGGGGTGTAACCCCGGCATCCTGGCCAAATCTGCCCAGTGGACTCTGTCCATCATGGCCTCCTAATCATCCCCATATATACCAATTGAACACATTTAGTCTAAGCAAATCTCCACATATGGATAAATAGCAGAGTAAGTCGCCATTAGTCAAGATGTAGGTCTGCTGTGACCTCTGAGGTCAGAGAAAGGCGTCTTCGGGTCTGTTGTTGAAGGCTGAAGTGTCCCATGGCTCCTCCACAGGACCTGCGCAGATTATTGAAGAAGGTCTCCGAGGTTGAAGAGGGCCTGAGCTCACTATCATTAGGACAAACTACCAAACCATACTGATAATACACTCCCTCCTCAGCAAGAAGGACAGATCCTGTTCACTTTAGTCACTCAAGTCACTCAAAAAAAATACCCTTCATCATAAAAATGGTAATAAATGTATTTTATTGACAACATATTTTAGTTTGTCTTGTATATATTTTTGATTAGATCAGATATGGTCATGTTTCCCCTATGGGGCATGTTGTCACGCTATCTTCCGTTCTTTCCGGATAAAGCTACCATGTATTAATTAGTCAAAACCACATCACTGTATTAGAAATGTATGAAATTAATGTGTGACAAAATAAATACCCCAAGTGAATTTTAAATAAATAAGAAGTCTGTATCTAAAGACTTTACTAATGAAAAATATGACAGTGTTATGCTGAATAAAAACCTTGTTGTCCATCTTCTCAAACCACACGAGAAAGCACTGACCAGGGTCATTGTCCACAAATAGAAAGGAACTATTATCTCTTCTACACTTGCTGGGACCAGCAGGTCATACTCGTGATATTGAAATGACAGTCATGTGCCTTATGGTGTGCATTATATTAACTATGCTGATATGTTGAGACCTGGACAAACCTCATTGCTCTTCCTTGCGATCTCCACCAGCAGATATCGGATGCAAGAAGCTTTACGCCCAGCTAGTGTTACTCTGTCAGAGTTAGTACTCGTTTTGTAATCTGTAACAAGTGCTCTTTTCATTTTTGATTCTTTTAATAAATATTGTTAAACATTTATTGTAATCATCTCGACTGGACCTTGGATTCTTGAGTGCGCGTCACGTTCTTCCTTCCGGATCAGGGAATAAACGACGAGAGGGTGAGCATTCGTTTGATATAAGAGATTTGATTGATTAAAAAGCCTATAGCCTATAGCCTAAAACAAACGCTGATCATCATATTGGTGACTGCTTGTCACCAATTCTGCTTGTTAACATCAGGTGTCTTCAATAACGCTCAATCATCACTCAATTAATCACTTAATTATCTCATTGACTTTAAGGCCTGTTTACACGAGAACGCTCGCGGGTGAAAACGTAAAAACATTTTATCGGATGTGCCACGGCAACGGCGTTTTTGAGGCTTAGGCCATGTCCACACTAATACGTTTTCGTTTGAAAACGTATATTTTTCTCTCCGTTTTGGCCTTCCGTCCACACTGAAAACGTAAAAACGTATCGTTTGGAAAACGCTCTCCAAAGTGGCTAAATTTGAAAACGCCGTTTTCGCGTTGTAGTGTGGACAGTGAAACCGGAGGCATTTCAAAACGATGACGTAAGTTTAGTCATGTGATCCATGCCCAGATAGCAAACTGACATTGAATCAACGTGGAAATATGACATCGAAACAACGTTGATCTGACATTGTTTTGCTCATCGAATTAACGTTGAACCAACGTCAGACGCGTCATTCTTTCAAAACTAACGGAAAATCAACTTGAAATCAACGCGTTGTTTCAACGTTATGAAAGCAAACCAATTTTCGATTTTCATTTAGCTTTGAAGAATGCCGCGTCTGACGTTGGTTCAACGTTAATTCGATGAGCAAAATCAACGTTGTTTCAATGTCATGAGAGACGTCGTTTCCACGTTGATTCAATGTCAGTTTGCTGTCTGGGACGGCAACGGCGTTTTTGAGGCTTAGGCCATGTCCACACTAATACGTTTTCGTTTGAAAACGTATATTTTTCTCTCCGTTTTGGCCTTCCGTCCACACTGAGACGCCGTTTTAAGTCAACAAAAACGTATCGTTTGGAAAACGCTCTTCAAAGTGGCTAAATTTGAAAACGCCGTTTTCGCGTTGTAGTGTGGACAGTGAAACCGGAGGCATTTCAAAACGATGACGTAAGTTTAGTCATGTGATGCATGTAGTACCAATATTCATGTTTATCAGTATTGTGCCTGTTATGTGTTATTCATTTTTACACTGTTGCTAAAATATGTTACTTTCTATCCCAGACAGCAAACTGACATTGAATCAACGTGGAAACGACGTCTCTCATGACATTGAAACAACGTTGATTTTGCTCATCGAATTAACGTTGAACCAACGTCAGACGCGGCATTCTTCAAAGCTAAATGAAAATCGAAAATTGGTTTGCTTTCATAACGTTGAAACAACGCGTTGATTTCAAGTTTATTTTCCGTTAGTTTTGAAAGAATGACGCGTCTGACGTTGGTTCAACGTTAATTCGATGAGCAAAACAATGTCAGATCAACGTTGTTTCGATGTCATATTTCCACGTTGATTCAATGTCAGTCTGCTATCTGGGATGTTACTTAATATGTGCTATTCTTCATAGCACAGTACTGCAAAGATGACAGATAATCTACTCACATTTGCAGTCCTGCGGCAAAACAGGAGAGCAGTTGCGTTTTAGACCAAATATGGTGACTGAATGCGACCTGGACGCATCCGTGATGGTGAGATATTTTGCTAAATAAAATGATCCCGTTAGAAGAATTGCGCGATAACTTGATTATTATTTATTTCCCCCTCTGTAACGTCTCAGTGAGCTTTTGTGAAGTTTCACGCATGCGCAGTAAGTGAATTTAGAAGTTTCTCATCCACACTGAAACGTCAGAAAACGCCTGAAAACACTAGTGTGGACGGAGAGCGTTTTTAAACGAAAACCCCGTTTTCAAATGTATCCGGATTAATGTGGACGAAATGCAAAAAAGTGAAACCACCCTCCAGAGTGGAAATCTTTAAAACGCTCCACCGCCGTGTAAACAGTAAAAACGCAAAAGTCTGCTTGACAGTGAAGGTTGTACACAGGCACGCGGGCTTGGTGTTGTTGTAGTATGCACTCCTAGCCGCCTGAAGTGCATACTACATTGAATTTCACACACTAACGCGTCTCCGTTTGCACGCGGATTTCCCACACAAAACGCTCGTCTAAACGCAGAATAAAAAAAGATTGACGCAACGCCACTTTTCCGTTTTCTCTTCAGAATCGGTGCCTAACACTGCTTCAGTAACCCAGTTATGTGCAGCCTGTTGACATAAAAAAGTTATTTAAAGCCAACATATCAGAACCTGTTGACAAAAGTTAATTTACAGAATCTGTTGACATAAAAAAGTTAATCGAAGCCAACATATAATTTTTTTGAGTGCATACAAATGCCAGAAGGACAGAAAATAACTTCTTATCATGCAAGAGAAGCGTTAACATCTGTGAGTGTGACTTCTGCACTTCCTCTGGAAAAACCCAAAGCAGCCGAAACAGGAAGGATGTCTGGTGGTTTAGATATAGGCTACCTCAGCAAAAGCATGCTCAAGTGTGTTCATTTTTTGGTTTGCATCGCTAGAGCGAGTTCTCTCTAGATCTTTCTTTATTTGCTCAAAACTGCTGTTATTTTCTAACCTGATGATTTAAAGTTAATTTTAACTTGCTTACTCGAACTGCTTAGAAGTGAGTTACTCGTTGTCCATCCGTTCTCCAGGACCGCCCTGGGAAGGGACTCGCTGAACAATCACAACCTGTAGCCTTTTCATATTTTGCTAAAAGTAGCCTATATTTCTCTTTTATTTTATAAAGACACGTATTTTTCCCCGTCTTCCAACAGCTCTACAACAAACATTCAAAGCAACATTAGATTTGTACTTCTTCACTGACCGAGACAGAAAGGATCCAGGAAGCTTTCAGCAGAGGGTAAGCTCAATGACTCAATGATTGTTAACGATTTAACTGCTGTAACAAACTAGCTAGTGTACACTCTTCTATATATGTAGCATAGGGTTCTTTACTCAACTCCAAAGGACATTTATGCTAAAAAAAAGGTTCAATAATGACAAGAAACAACACTTATGGCACAAAGGTTCTTTAAAGGCTATTATCCATTCATATATTACATTATTCTGCAACATTTTGTAGTTGTACTTAAATTATTGTTTATTAAACAAATTTTGTGACCATTCACATGCATTGCATTTTAGGGGTTCCAACTACGCAGCGCTTTAGAACCTTTTAAGGTTCTATATAGAACCTTTTCTTCTAAGAGTGTAGTAAACCTGACCGCATAAAGCCACCTAACTAGGGGTTATTCATGCAATGAGGTAAATGCCAGATTATAATTAATTTAATCATTTAATAAGTAGAAACCGATTAAACAATAAAAAAAAAAAACAAACTATTTGAACGCTCTAAACCGTGTCTCCAAATTGCAAGGAGGAACTCGCTAGGCACGGTTACTTCCGTATTAACCATAAAACCACCGTGAAATATTTTACTATTGTAATATTTTACAATTGTATTGAACAGATACAGAGTCATACACTGTAAAAAATATTTTCAAGATTTGTTATCACAACATTTTTTCCTTTGTCAAATCAACTTAGTTGAGATAACTTATTATTTTGAGTTTCTGAGGATTAAATCAATCTCCTTCATTGTATTAACTCACTTTTTCCAGTTCAATCAACTTAAAATTTTAAGGCAACCCAAGTTACTTACTTTAAGTTAAACCAACAATATTTTTTTTACAGTGTAGTAATCACAACATTTTTTTCTTTTGTCAAATCAACTTAAATAATTTATTTAGTTCAGATAACATATAATTTTGAGTTTCTGATTATTAAATCATGCTCCTTCATTGTATTAACTCACTTTTTTCAGTTCAATGAACTTAAAATTAAGGCTTAAGTTAAGTTAAACCATCAATATTTTTTACAGTGTAGATAAATTAACCAACATTACTCCCATAACTAAATAGGCGACAGACAGAACGAAGCAGAGAGAGTAGAAGAGAAAGAACTCATCGTACTATGGATAAATCCAACTCGGCTGGACTAGGACCTCTGGTCAGGGCTTTAGATGGGACGGGTCGGGGAGCGACAGGGCGAAACTGTGGTGATCGGGTTAGAAGTCAGGCCAATGAACGTCGAGGCAGCTCGCATAAAAGGGGAAATAACACCCTAGGAGGTAAACCATTTCTAGCCTACGCTAATCATGTGTTTGAGCCGCTGAATGGAGAACGAGCCCCACGAGGGGCGACCGGGCACAAGATACTGCAGCTCGCGTGTGGGCCCACGCCTGACGACATCCTGAGTCTGCCGGGAAACAGCAGAGAAGATATGATTGACATGTTAGCAGATCAGCTAGAACACATGCAGAACGCCCTGTGCTATGTGCTATTAGATGACAATACAACAGATGAGTGTGAACCAACGAGGGCGGAAGTGTGGAAACTGCGGGAGGCCACTTATCGAAAGGCGGGTAAAGCTCCACGAAAACAGCAGAAAGCTGCGCCACTTAAAATAAAAAAGAAAACATCGACTTCTCTTTTTAGTAAGAAAGACCTAGCATGGGAAAATGGAGAACCTTCTGATTCTCTCTCCAGCTCAGAAAGCTCAGACTCGGACAGGGAGGACGACAGGAGGCGCGCTTTAAAGCTCTTGTCAGATAAACCACAAATAGATTTATCACTCGTCGCGGCTACGTCCAGAGAGCGTAGGAGAGAGTCTGACTCAGAGGAGGAAGCTTCTGTCTCTACACCCCGGCGAGGTTCAGTTACAGACAGTTTCACTGCCGCATATGTCCTGCAGATCATGACATTCCCAGAGGCTAAAGATAACACCAGGCTTAAGGCGAAAATGATAGCCGATTTCGGGAAAACCCTAGGGGCATCAACTACCCTGATAGAGCTCATGATAAAATATCATACAGGAATATCCATAAGTCTTGAAATCCTTAATGCATACCACTCTCTCGTGATAGGCGGCGTCGATGACGAAGCGAAGCTCGGAAAGGACTTAGAACTGATAAAAACCATAGGCCTTTGGCCATACCTCGCAGAGAAAGCCACCCGAGGGTGGACAAGTGCAAAGATGATAGACAAACTAAAAAAGCTAGCTCCAAAACTACCTGGATGTCATGAGATCGCTATTTGGGGAGAAGAAACAAACTGGTCGGAAATCTCTAAATTCGCAGCCCGATATGACAGGAACACTGTGAGAATAATTGAGCCCAGAAATGAGAGTAAAAGGGGAACTGGGTATATAAAGCCTGAGGAATGGGCCAAACTGACTAAAGAGCAGAAACAAGCCCACGTGGAGAAGCGTAAACAAAACCGCTAGAGAAAACGAGAAATAATGAAGTGTAACCCCAGGAGAAGCGACTATTGCATCTGACTTATGTTCAGGGAATGAAATGTATGTTAGACACCAGCGCAGACGTAAACCAAAGTACTATGGCGAGCTATATATCGTGTTTATGGTTTCAGTAATGAAATGAAACGGTCACCAGAGATGGATATATGTGGCGAGGATACTTGCATAATAGATAGCTCCAAATTTATGTTTTTAATGATAATAAGAATAATAGTTTGTCATTGCAGTGATACAACGAAATTACGTTAGGGCATCAGTCGCATCATTCATGAGGTATAAGAGATCAACAACAAGGCGGAGAATCACTAGTAAACAGGAGAAGTGTGTGTGCTGCGACAAAATAACAGATGCAACCTTGTAGAGAAATGGCTAAAAAAGATCTTATAATAAAATCAGATAAAAACAGTCGACCTGGGGGAACAGGCGGATAGAATAGGCAAAGATTTAAGAAAAGTTCTCGAAAAATATAAAGACAATTCGGCCAAAAAGTAAAAATAAATAAGACTACAGAGTGGAATCTGGGCTTGGGGGATATTTGATATGTCCAAGGAAAGTGCTTTGCAAGAGTCAAACATCTCAAAGCCCAACTTGGATGCAAAGTGAGGGTTGTTTATTCGGTACGTTTGAAGAGTTAATCGACATAGAGGCGGCGGATGATGACGTTAGTGCTATAACTCCGCCGGCACCACTAATGATGATGAGCCAACATCAAATAATCAAACAGTCAGCTTTTTCCTCACTCGTTAAAAACGAAGCAGAATCAGGTGATTTATTGGATCCTGACTGTTGACGAGTTCCTGGAAAACTAAAGCTGTTTAATGGGTTTTTGATAACGTTAAAGAGTTAGCTGTCTCTGTTTGGGAAACAATTTTTACGTTAACATAATTCTGATTAGTTTGAACGTTATCATTGTAGTAATTGTTAGTAGTAATGATAATTAAATCATCTGAGTTATGCATCGTCTGCAAAAACCAAGAAACTCAGAGTCAGAGACGGAGGTCTGATCCAGACTAACTGATCCAGACTAACTGATCCAGACTAACTGATCAAAACGAACTGATCAAAACAAACTGATCCAGACTAAGTGATCCAGACTAACTGATCAAAACAAACTGATCAAAACAAACTGATCAAAACAAACTGATCAAAACAAACTGATCAAAACGAACTGATCAAAACAAACTGATCCAGACTAAGTGATCCAGACTAACTGATCAAAACAAACTGATCAAAACAAACTGATCAAAACAAACTGATCAAAACAAACTGATCAAAACAAACTGATCAAAACGAACTGATCCAGACTAAGTGATCCAGACTAAGTGATCCAGACTAAGTAATCCAGACTAGCTGATCCAGACTAACTGATCCAGACTAACTGATCAAAACGAACTGATCCAGACTAACTGATCAAAACAAACTGATCAAAACAAACTGATCCAGACTAAGTGATCCAGACTAAGTGATCCAGACTAAGTGATCCAGACTAGCTGATCCAGACTAACTGATCAAAACAAACTGATCAAAACAAACTGATCCAGACTAACTGATCAAAACGAACTGATCCAGACTAACTGATCAAAACAAACTGATCAAAACAAACTGATCAAAACGAACTGATCCAGACTAAGTGATCCAGACTAAGTAATCCAGACTAGCTGATCCAGACTAACTGATCCAGACTAACTGATCAAAACGAACTGATCCAGACTAACTGATCAAAACAAACTGATCAAAACAAACTGATCAAAACAAACTGATCCAGACTAAGTGATCCAGACTAAGTGATCCAGACTAAGTGATCCAGACTAGCTGATCCAGACTAACTGATCAAAACAAACTGATCAAAACAAACTGATCCAGACTAACTGATCAAAACGAACTGATCCAGACTAACTGATCAAAACAAACTGATCAAAACAAACTGATCAAAACGAACTGATCCAGACTAAGTGATCCAGACTAAGTAATCCAGACTAGCTGATCCAGACTAACTGATCCAGACTAACTGATCAAAACGAACTGATCCAGACTAACTGATCAAAACAAACTGATCAAAACAAACTGATCAAAACAAACTGATCCAGACTAAGTGATCCAGACTAAGTGATCCAGACTAGCTGATCCAGACTAACTGATCAAAACAAACTGATCAAAACAAACTGATCAAAACAAACTGATCCAGACTAAGTGATCCAGACTAAGTGATCCAGACTAGCTGATCCACACTAACTGATCAAAACAAACTGATCAAAACAAACTGATCCAGACTAACTGATCAAAACGAACTGATCCAGACTAACTGATCAAAACAAACTGATCAAAACAAACTGATCAAAACGAACTGATCAAAACGAACTGATCCAGACTAAGTGATCCAGACTAACTGATCAAAACAAACTGATCAAAACGAACTGATCCAGACTAAGTGATCCAGACTAAGTGATCCAGACTAGCTGATCCAGACTAACTGATCAAAACAAACTGATCCAGACTAACTGATCAAAACGAACTGATCCAGACTAAGTGATCCAGACTAGCTGATCCAGACTAGCTGATCCAGACTAAGTGATCCAGAAAGACTAAGTGATCCATACTGACTGATCCAGACTGACTGATCCAGACTAAGTGATCCAGACTAAGTGATCCAGACTGACTGATCCAGACTAATTGATCCAGACTAACTGATCCAGACTAACTGATCCAAACTAACTGATCCAGACTAACTGATCCAGACTGACTGATCCAGACTAATTGATCCAGACTAACTGATCCAGACTGACTGATCCAGACTAACTGATCCAGACTAACTGATCCAGACTAACTGACTGACCAACTCTATCTAATTCGTACGAGTGATAAAAAGGTGGCTAATTCTAACGACCTCACTCAGACGAATTCGTATGATTTGTCTAAACCCACGTGACGGGTAGGTTTAGGGGCGGGGTCAGGGGTAGGTCATTCGTACGAATTAGCCACCTCATAAAATTCTTTTTATTTACTTATCTAGCCGCTGTTGTATCCCCTTAACATACCATCCCCTTTCCCCTCTGTCTTTTTCTATGTTTAGCCGCCTACAGCTTTTTTTGCTTTCTCCATCTTTTTCGCTCGGCCCTCACGGTCGCTCCCAGCCAATCACGATATCAAACCTAACCTTCATTTGGGTTAAGGGGAATTATAGCATTGATGTAAAATGCTATCTCTAAATCACTTGGCTGGGATATGTTGAAATTGGACTGGGAATAATTCCCTAAATCTTTTTAAGGGTAATTAGCTATTAGGAGAAATATCGCCGTAAGACCAATGGCGTAGAGATTGGCTGTGCGATATTTTGTCATTTTGATAACGGCGGGGATTGCGAGGTAACTGCAAGAACCAAAGTTATTATTGGTCGTCTTATTGATAGATATTAACGACCATTCCCATTGCTGGAGATTGATTGAAAAATATCAATATGTATCGTATCGTATATGTATCGTTTTTGATTTGAATTTCTTTTGTTTTTGACTTTGTTGATTTGAATTTGAATTGATTTTAGAAAATGCAAGCTATATATTTTTTTTCATTTCTTTTATGTCTTTTATTTTTTATTTTATTTTATGTCTTTTATTTTTTATTTTCTTTTATGTCTTTTATTTTTTATTTTACTGTTGATTCTGTGTTATCACATTAGGTCCCAGAAACGAGTAAGCTGCCACATGACTGTGAAGTTCACAAATTCGGCAAATCATGTTTTAAATAGAAATGTTACCCTGTAAGGATTAAGGCTTGGAGATATGACAACTCAGACTGTATTATAATGAAAGGTTACTCGATGGCTGAAATTAAAAATATAACTTAATATAAAGGCGGGCCAATTGGCTAGACCCAAGCAATAGTCATTATATGACCTGTGAGCCCGTTCTCATCCCAAGGCGGCATATTCTGACGCTGTCGCCAAAGCGTAGACATCCAACGCACGTTAGCATCAATATGAGACGCAGATATATAGGCCAGACAGCGCCTCCTAGTGGTCTAACCCTAACACTACCCATAACCGAAGCGGTGCCATGTGCGTTAGCCGTATGAATGGACGGATCTCGTGTTATTATCATCGCTCCTGTAGATGTGTCTGGAAAGGACTTCACTGGCCCAGTGGGAGCCACGGGTGTAGTCTCAAGAGCACTTGGCCAGTGGGATCGGGTCGCTCTGATATCACCAGAATCTGACCGGGCTCCGCGGAGGCGGAAGCGTTGCCACGGGCAACCGGTCGACAGGATGTGCAACAGGAACACAATGAGTTATCCGTCGTTCCTCCTTAAGGAATCACCAACTAGGTTCTGTGACTGTTGCTTGGGTCTAGTCGTTGTTACCGTACAGCATTGGCACCAATTTTATTCACTTAAAGCCATGGTCAAATAAAGGCTTTTAAAACTTTTTCCTACATAATTCGAGCGCCTTTGAGTACCTTTTTTGTTGCTGAGTTGAAATATCCCAAGCAACTAACTTTGTTGTTACTGTATGTTTATAATAGTACACTTGATGAAATTGTGCCTAAAGTGCTGATGGGAATCATTAACTGTGCCTCCAGATACACTCACACACACACACACACACACACACAGAAGCACAAGGGATGGAAACACCATACAAATGCCTGAAGAACACAAAATAACTTCTTATCTGTTGCGAGAGAAGCGTTAACATCTGTGACTGTGAGTGTCGTCTGCACTTCCTCTGGAAAAACCCAAAGCAGCCGAAAGAGGAAGGATGTCTGGTGGTTTAGATATAGGCTACCTCAGCAAAAGCATGCTCAAGTGTGTTCGTTTTTTGGTTTGCATCGCTAGAGTGAGTTCTGTCTTGATCTTTCTTTGTTTGCTCAAAACTGCTGTTATTTTCTAACCTGATGATTTAAAGTTAATTTTAACTTGCTTACTCGAACTGCTTAGAAGTGAGTTACTCGTTGTCCATCCGTTCTCCAGGACCGCCCTGGGAAGGGATTCGCTGAACAATCATAACCTGTAGCCTTTTCATATTTTACTAAAAGTTTTTTGATTATTGTGTAACCAAGTATATTTCTCTTCTGTTTAAATAAACTTATTTCATAAAGACAAGTGTTTTTCAATCTTACTTCATCTTACTTGCATAAGAAACAATTGAAAAAATACGCTTTGGTGGACACACGGCCTAACGAGGTGCAGAGCCTCGTCAACGGAGTCAATGAAGTTTAGTTTGAAAATGTGGATTTGTGTTTAATGTTGAGCTCATTCTGCAGGGTTCTGGATCACTCGTGTTCTCTCTGTCCTCTTTAAAGGGACTCTGTGTAGGAATTACCCCCATCTAGTGGTTAAATAGTATTTTGCATTCAAACGAATTTTGCTCTCCAGCGCCTCGCTTTTTCAAGTGCGTATTGCATCTACGGTTGCCGTTATGTACCAAAAATGCTATGACAGGATGTCTTGTAGTAACACTTCGAGTTTTTCTCCGGGTGAACAGGTTTGTAACTTAAAAAAAAACAGCAACTTATGTGTACAATTTATGTGTCTAGCTGTATAAATTAATTTTAATTATATTTAAGAATTATTTGCGCTTAAATTCTGTATATATATATATAAATACATAATCTATATTATATAAATATAAATATTTTATATAGGAATAACATATTTTCTTAAACATATACATGCATGTGTGTGTATTTATATATACAAAATAATTATATACAGCACACACAAATATACTATGTAAACACAGACTTATTTTGGATGCGATTAATCGCAATTAACTTTTGCACAGCCCTAATATATATATATATATATATATATATATATATATATATACACACACATACATACATACATACAAGTGAAACTCGTAAAATATGTGTATACTATATACATATATATATATATATACCATTGACAAATAAAGCTTCAAAAGGTTTTTTTTATCTTTTAAACTGATGTGATGAATATTTTTGAGTCATGAACAATGCATTTAAACAAGTTTCAATATCAACATTTCTAAGTGTTTAACTTCATTTGAAATGTCTACAAAAATATGTATAGACCATTTCACAAGATGTAAACAACACTGGTCCAAAAGCACTTCCTGTTTCAGCTTTTTAACACTACATAAAAGCTGGGACAAACATAACATATAAAACTGAATCAAAAAGTAAAACAAACATCTTTAAGATGTTTTCTTTACATGCGAAATAAATAAAACAGTTACAAACTGAAACAGGAAGTGTTTCTGGACCAGTGTTGTTTACATCTTGCGAAATGGTCTATACATTTTTTTAAAAATCTGCAGTTTTTACCAGTATTTATGAGAGATCTACAAACCTTTTCAGGCCCATTTAGGCTCCTCTGGATGATGCATTATCATATATACTGTAATTACCGTAATAAAAGAGCCATGTTTGCAGTTCTGACATGCACATTGCTGGACAAAAGTTTTTAAATGATCTCAACAGCTTTAACACTACTGAAATTTACGGCTCCATCGGTCTGACGAAGCACTTCCTGGAACTGTCGGAGGGCTACGCGAGTCACGTGACGACCAAGCTCTGCTATGTGACTCTGGTTTTGATTATCCATAAATATGTTTGATAAATATATTTTGACAAGTCAGAATAATAACAACAACAAAAAAACCATAAAAACAATATATCTAGGACAATAACTAATGTCAAGGTTTCCCCTATCTAAACACAAGAGAAAACAATGAGCCAGCCAACCGTATTGGCATAGCACAGGAGACACAGACAAGCAAACAGACTAATAAAAATAAAGATTAACAACAAAAGACAAAAAAAAGTAAATAAAAAGGCAGGACAAGAAACAGTGCAGCAGCAAAATTTCATGTCAAGTGTAATGTAAACAGTCCTGACTATCTATTATCTACAATGTGATTATGAATAGATGGGAGACTCCTGGGAAAGCAGGTTTCTGCTGGTAGAGGAGTTAGTGAGGCCAGCAGGGGGCGCTCTCCCTGTGGACTGTGTGGGTCCTAACGCCCCGTTAAACTGAGGCCCTGACTGTCTGAGGTCATTAAACATCCCATGGCACTTCTGGTGAAGAATAGGGGTGTCCTGGCCACATTCTCCCCAATGCCCTCGCCAATAATCCTCCTAATAATCCCAATCTATCGCTATCTCTCCTCTCCACCTATAGCTGGTGTGTGTGTGTGTGTGTGCGGCTTTCCCTCAAATGTCAAATGTCATCTATAATAAACACAACCGTTGAGAAGCTTCTTATAATTGAAGAACAACGATACAAAACATTTAACCCTTAACCTTATACTGTCCTATAGTCACACAGGGGTGTGTTTCCCATACAGCGATGTAACTCGCTGCTTCACTACCATAGTACAATTGAGAATGAGGAGTCACGTGCCTATTTGGGCGGGGTCTGGGCCGGTCGGCCATGATGTTGGTGACGCTATCGGTTACCAGGGTTTTTATCGGTTTTTAACGCAGCAGTTACTTCCAGGCATGGTAAAACAGTGCGGTATTGCGAGAAACTCCTCTACTACCGAGCTAAAAACACACGTAATCAATACTGTTTTGTCGTCCCAGATAGCAAACTGACATTGAATCAACGTGGAAACGACGTCTCTCATGACATTGAAACAACGTTGATTTTGCTCATCGAATTAACGTTGAACCAACGTCAGACGCGGCATTCTTCAAAGCTAAATGAAAATCGAAAATTGGTTTGCTTTCATAACGTTGAAACAACGCGTTGATTTCAAGTTGATTTTCCGTTAGTTTTGAAAGAATGACGCGTCTGACATTAGTTCAACGTTAATTCGATGAGCAAAACAATGTCAGATCAACGTTGTTTCGATGTCATATTTCCACGTTGATTCAATGTCAGTTTGCTATCTGGGGAGGGGCACTGTAAAATGACGTCAACTCCTCATTCTCAATACATCGTTAGAGAAATCAACTACCCAGATAGCAAACTGACATTGAATCAACATGGAAATATGACATCGAAACAACGTTGATCTGACATTGTTTTGCTCATCGAATTAACGTTGAACCAACGTCAGACGCGTCATTCTTTCAAAACTAACGGAAAATCAACTTGAAATCAACGTTGTTTCAACGTTATGAAAGCAAACCAATTTTCGATTTTCACTTAGCTTTGAAGAATGCCGCGTCTGACGTTGGTTCAACGTTAATTCGATGAGCAAAATCAACGTTGTTTCAATGTCATGAGAGACGTCGTTTCCACGTTGATTCAATGTCAGTTTGCTGTCTGGGTAGGTAGCCATGACTGTTTCCCGAAACCCACTGTCGCAAAATATCGTTCCACCACGTTGGTTTCGCACGTGGTGGAGTATTAACTAGGCTACTTTTAATGAAACTGTTAATTAACGCTAGATTTGTTTTATATAAATTACAGACATGTCATCTGAGGACTATTTCTAATAAGTTGTTTTGCTTTATTACCAGACTCAATATTTGGCTCGTTATTTCATCGTCTTTATCGATTCCATGAATTCTTAGTTGTTTCTTTGTTTGTGCGCGAGTCATGCACTTCTTTGCATAATTATTCTTTTTGTGACAGGCTTCGCATATCTGTCAGTATGCAGGGCATTTTTTTTGGTTCGTGTTTGTATCCACATCTTGTGCATTCTCCTAGTGCAACATGACTAATTTGGCTGCATAAATTCTTTTCCCTTTTCACTTCTTCTGTTTGTGAATTTTGTACACTGGGATTTCAATTTCTTCTTGCAGTGATTTTAATTGGTTTTTCGACTCACTTCACTGGCACGGCAAATATGACCTAGGGTTAAATCGGATTCCCATATGGTAACAACCTGGCTCTGATCTGGGGTGCGTTTCCCGTACAACGACGTAGTTCACTGCTTCACTATATAGTACGATGCATCGTTGGAAAAATCAACTAGCTAGTCACGACAGTTTCCCGAAACCCACTGTCGCAAAGTATCCTTCAACCACATTGATTTTGCACGTGGTGGAGTAATAACTACTTTTAATGAAACTGTTTGAGATCCAATTAACGCTAGATTTGTTTTATGTAAATTACAGACATGTCATCTGAGGACTACTTCTAATTGTTCTCAGTTGTTTTGCTTTATTACCAGACTCAATATTTGGCTCGTTCTTACATAGTGGAGCGCGTTCGCACATGCGCACTTTTCAAACACGTTACTTAAAATCTCTTGACAAACTAAAAGAAGTAAATTCCATTTGTAAGTATTCTAAATAAAAGACACCGGTTGTACTGAATGTCAGCTTGCTCATTATGCTCAAGATAAGGATTTATTACCTCCAAATGTGTTGCAATATAGAAACGATGCTTCTATACCATAGGTCGAGAGCTGTCGTTCAAACCACACAACTTCGTTGGAACGATGGTTTCGGGAAACACCGACTCGTTGAACTATGCTGATAACGACGGAACGTGCGACAACGATGCTTTCGGGAAACGCACCCCTGGTCATTTGTAATACCACAAACAATTCGCACGCTTATCAGTGACTCGGTATAAGTTCTCCAAATTCACAATCCTTCGCTTTATTCTTAAAGTTTGTCACATAATCGACTCTGTTTGGCCTTGTGCTCTAATAAAGAACAAATGCCTCAGGTAGGCTATGCCAGTTTTTTTCTAGGCTCGCAGTATTTAGCAAACAGTTATTTTGATGTCTCGAAGTCGTCAACATCATCATAAAATGTAAACGTGTTGAATACCTTGATTGCGTCGTCTCCCATGCGGAAAAGTGGTAGGCTTTTCTCCGACTTCTCTGAGATTACACTCGCGATAAGATACAGTTCAAATTGCTGGATCCAACCTCTTCAGTTCTTGGCTCGGCCGTCCAAGCACAGCTCCCGGGGGCTTCAGCTGATCAATAATTTATCATTTTAATGACTTCTGAAACCATGTAATTTATTGAAGACAGGAAACCGCATGTGGTTGAACTGAACTCTCTTTACTTGTGTGTCTATCGATCACAGATGGTGACGCAATGGCGCCTCAGAGCGTTCACACTATCACACTACAACATCATAATACCTGACACTGCTTTTACCACAGTAAACTGTGTTTTTATTGTGTACTAATATAGTTAAAGCAGTTTCACAACACTTACCATGCTTTTTTACCACACGTACTGTAGTTGTAATGTGGCATTTGTAGTTAAAACACATGCTTTTACCACAGTCTGTGTTTTTACTGTCTACAGCCCGGTAACCACAGTTTTACCAGAGTAACTGTCGTTTCACTGTGGTGTTTTTAGTTAAAACAGTAACACAACACTTGCCATGGTTTTACCACAATAAACACAGTACTTGCCATGCCTTTAATACCTTTTTGTAATGTAATTGTAATTCAGTATTTTTATTCTCTCTTGCAGTTCCTTCAGATCACATACTTCTCCATCATCTCCCACAACAACCTTTAATCCAACAGCTCTTTTAAGAGGCCATCTCTCATAAAAGCTCACTTTCTGTCTGTCTTAGCTTTTTTTTTTTTTTTTTTAACTGTAATTCATTTACACATATTTTTGCTCTCTTTCTTTATCTGCCTCATCATGATATATTATATACAAATCTGAATTTGATCAATTGTGTCAGAAAGCTGCTATTACGTAACAGGGAACTGGAACTCAAAGCTCCCTGTATTGAATGCTGTAGTATGCACTGATTGCAGTTCTAAATAGTTATTTTACAATTAATGTCCAGTAACTAAGAGAAGAGTTGAGTCATGGATCCAATTCACTCAATGTATTAGTTAGTTAAATGAAAGAATTAATTATTTCTCACAATATCAACAAAATGTAAATCCAAACAATAAACCAACGTGTCTTGAGTCAAAATAATATGAAGGCAATGACAATTATGTTAATAAAAGTCCCAAGTATTTCAAAGGAAGATCACTCAATGCAGAAGGGTACAGATGTCCTCGGACGTTGATCATCCGAACTGTGTTCAAGCAATGAAAAACGATCTAGAGTTTGGTCCAGATGAACTGTTGCTGTACAGACTGTAGTTAGAGTTTTGCACATGTAGCTCCAGTTGTGCTCAATGTCGTTTAGCAATCGAAAAAAAACAAAACAACAACAACTGTAAGATCGTATCTGACTAAAGTTCGCTTCCAGGTTTATTTTGTGGCTAAAGACAAACCCGTATTTAAATACGGTCATTTTTATGTTAGTGTGAGTGAATGAGTGAAACAAATAAACACAGCGCTCACTCTTCAGCACAATGACCCCTAAAACTCAGTGTTGTAGTACTCGAGACTCGGACTCGTCTCGAGACCATATTTTAATGGTCTTGGGTCTTGTCATGGACTCGTGTGCATTTGGACTCGTACTCGATTGATTGATTAGTACACGCCCATTGATTAGTGATAAAATTGTAATGACAAATTGTAATAAAATTACTTTCAACACCACCTACTATGTGGCCTTTTTACCCTAAACTGATCATATTTTTTAAACTCTAAGTAAATTCATTAAAAAAAAAAAAGGATTTCTCTAAGTAAATAAAAGTAAATTAGGTAATCAACCCTCACTGGTCTCGGTCTCGAGTCGGACTCGACCGTCTCTGGTCTCGGACTCGACTCTCGATGCACTCGGTCTTGACTCGGACTCGACTCTCTCTGGTCTCGGTCTCGACTCGGACTCGAGTGAGGTGGTCTCGACTACAACACTGCTAAAACTCAAACATACATTTTAAATAAAAAATAATAGAACATTAAACACTAACAGATCTCCCTCTATATTAATATCGAGCAAACCATTTAATAACACTCAATTTTAACATTTTCTCTCATTTAACAGTCAGAAGCAAAACATCCAAGGAAATAGAAATCTGTTGTAACTCCTTCCGTGAATGTGTGTGTGTGTGTGTGTGTGTGTGTGTGTGAACATACATTCACATGGGAACATGTATGTGCATGTTCAATGCATGCAGTATTCCCTTCTTTCTATTATTTAAGTACATTCCCGAAGGGGTGAGACAATAAGAAAAAAAGTGCACGGGTGTATTCTGTCGTCCGAAGGTGACCTCTGGGGCATATAGCCCCCACTCCTGCCTCCAGACAGGTCAGGGTTAGTGATAATACAGTCCCTCCAGGATTTCACGATTTTTTTTTTGTGATTTTTGCGATCAAAATGACTGATTTTGTGGTGGTAATTTCCAAAAATTTGTGAAAAAATTTGCGATTTATATATAACATTTACCATAATGGTATTCAGTCCTTCCAGAAAAACGCGGAGTTTTTTTGTGATTGTTGCGGGCAAAAATCCTTGATTACGTGGCCCGTTTTCTTTAAAAATGCGATGGAAAGAATATGCGGGATATTTATGCAATTTTATGGGATGAAATTTTAGGAATTTGCAAAAATTGAGGGAACTTGCAAAAATTGCGGTTTGATAAAAAAGAGAAAAAAAAAAGTTATTCCCCCAACATCCTGTTCTCACTAGGCTAATGTAAGAGTCATTTCTTATTACTTCCTTTGATAAGCAAGCATACTACATCATAGAAAGTGCTGGGAATATTTAATTTCTCATCTTGTTTTATTTCAGACTGTAACGAGTGTAAATAAGGTGTGGCCCCTTTAAGAGCTGCGCGCTCCCTGTTGAACTCTCTGCAGTGTTATATGTGCGTCTCAAACACCCCATGTGTGCGGGTAATTTCTGTTTGATGCTACTTCTTTTATCTTATGTTGTTTATTAAGTAACGATGTGACGGTAGAACGTGTGACAGACAGTTATACGAGTTCGATTTGTGAGATGCAATCGCCTCCGTGAGTCTGTCCGGCGTCGCGTAATTGCGTCACTTCATAACGTCCCCATGGAAACAGGGGGAAATGGCTGCTCTTGTGTGAAGCAAACGCACATTTTTCAACTTTCTGCTAAGATACATGTGACTTTTTTTGCAACGAAAATGCGAGGATTATGAAATTATGCAAACCCCGCATATTTTGCAAGGAAATCGGCAATTTATGCGGCGAAAGTGCGGCGTATTTGAAAAAATGCGGCCCCCGCATAAATATGCGGACTTTGGCTGATTTTGCATTGAATTCAGCGATCGCATAATCGCGTTTTTCTGGAGGGACTGATAATAAATAGCTTTTTATGAAATGATGCACCTGGCTTTTTTGAGATGTTTCTTTAACATTTCCTCTCTTTCAGCTTCTGCCTGCTTCTTCTGCTCTTCCAGCTCGAGTATTCTTGCTCTATAACTTCTTGCAATGTCTTTTTTTTCCCGTTCAAAATTCTTCCTCTCACTCCCAATTCTACATCTTTGCGCAAACTCCTCATTTTGTCTTCTTGTCTCCTCTCCCTGCAGACGTCCCAGCCGATCGTCTCTCTGCTTTTGCCTCTCAGCATTAATCTTCTGTTGATGTTCAGCAGCCTTGGCACTAATTTGCATTTGCTCCAGCAGAGAAACCACAACAGAACCTCCTCTAACGTCGTCGGTCTCCTTTTGTCTCAACTGTTCCCGCAGCTGTGCTTCTCTCAGCTTTTGGCGCTGCTGCTCCTGTTCCATGGTTTGTATTCGTCTTTGGAGCTCAGCTTCCCTGGCTTGAATCTTCTTTTGAGTAGCTCTGGCTTCCAGTTCTAACTCAGCTTCTCTTTTCTTATATTTCTCCATCAGCTGGTATGTTGAGTTTGTGTAGCACTCACCACCATTGTGTTGCACCATGTCTTGGATCTTTTGCAGGAGCACGCTCACTTGGTTACGGCTTTTATCTTTATTATTGAGAACATGATACCTGCCATTGCATTTGGCAACCAGGGCTTGAAGTTCTTCTACAGCCCCTTTCAGATAATTTTCAATGCTCATGTCCTCCTCCAGGTCGTCTCCTCTTGTGAACAGAATCATTGTGTATCTTGTAGCTCGTTCCCCAAAGATCTCCTGTATCTGTTGGACTGTTTTCTTCTCTTCGGCTGTGAAGCGATTGCCGATCGCCAAGATTAAAAGAAAGACGTGGGGCCCTGGGTATGACATGTCGATGCATTTCACTGTCGCCTGCGTGAGTTCGGCCTCGGAGAGCTCTGTGTCACACCAGCCTGGAGTGTCCAAAACCGTGACTGTTTTCCCATCAATAATAGTGCTAGCCTTACTGCACTCCTTAGTCACAGACTTAGAGCTCGCTGCTTTGTGAAAATGCTGTTTTCCAAGGATGGTGTTAGCGACGGAACTTTTCCCAACACCTGTTTTACCAACTAGGACAATCCTAAATTCTGTAGAGAATAGAAAAAAAAGTAAAATGCAAATAAATAAATAAATAAATAATGCATTGTCTTTACTCCACAAACAAAGCCATGAGACTTTAAAATAAAAATTGTTATGCTATTTAAAATTAATTTAACTTATTATATATTTTATTATTATATAAATATATTGTTTTAGATGAAAAACTTCAATCATTGTGGTTGAAGTAAGGAAATAAATATGCTACAGACCTGTGACTTGTTGATTCATTTTGACTCCAGAGTGAGAAACCAGAGAGCTTTAAAGGGACGGCTCAGTCCATCCCATTTTTATATGAACAGTTTTGTTAGATGTCATATTATAAACGGAAATTGAAACTGACTAAAAACAAAGAAAAGAGGAGGGACCATTTTTGGAATTTTTTTCAATTTATTACAATGTATGTTCACAGTCCTCTTAATGTGAGGAATTGTGCTTATTCACCTTAATTAATTCTAACTGTTAGTAATTTGATATCTATTTAATGTATGTATTTTCATTGTAAACCAATTTAATTTAATATATTTATTATTTCAATTATAGCATTTTTTTTTGGCTTTGATGAGGGTTTAATGAGGGTTTTTGATGCAGGGTTGTTTTCTGTTTAGATGTTTTTGTAATGTATAACATTTTATTTATGACGAGCGTGTGGAGAATTATGTAGACCAAAGCAACGGTCACATGAGGAGGGTATCTGTTTCGCCAAAACACTCGCCCTTTATCGTCAGTTGGCAGATCTCATCAGTAGATGTTGTGTTTCCATGGCAGAACTGGTTGGGTTTGTTTGTTTTTTTCCACCTCAATAACTGCGTTTTATATTCCACTATAATCAAATCATGAATGTGCGCACATACCATTCTTTCCCCCTTTGATTTACAGTAAAGGCGAGTGAGGTCAAATGAGCCATGTCTCAAAAAATAGTATAATAAATCTTTAACATATTTATTTAAATTGTTTATTTATCCTTTTTTTTCATTTCATAAAAACTCCAATTTTGATAATACTATCTTCTTCCAGAGAGAAATTGTCACATTTATCCTGATTAAAGGAGAACTCCGGCGAACAATGAACCTTTGGTCTAATAAAACATCGGTGCATAGTCAACCGTTCTCTGAGATTTGTTTTCATGATAATCGAATGTAAAGAGTTTTATCTCTAAAAACTGTTTAGCGTATAATGCTAGTACTGGGGGCATTGACTAAGTAAAAAGAAATCGCTAGTTTATACCACTAACAAGGCTCAAAATAGCCCCACACTAACACAGTAACATAATGAGGCTCCATACATGCAAAACAAAGCATTGAAAACTTTGTTAGTGTACAGACCGTTTAATAAGAAGATACTTTATGAAGACAGTTCACTTCGCGTATACAGGCAGGAGCCATCTTAAAAAATAGTCTCGATAAGTCGATCCCCGAACGTCGTGCTGAGTGATCTGAACTCTATGAAGTTCAGCGAACTTCTGAACTGTATGAGCGGCGTTCGGGGATCGACTTATCGAGACTATTTTTTAAGATGGCTCCTGCCTGTATACGCGAAGTGAACTGTCTTCATAAAGTATCTTCTTATTAAACGGTCTGTACACTTACAAAGTTCTCAATGCTTCGTTTTGCATGTATGGACCCTCATTATGTTACTGTGTTACCCAGACAGCAAACTGACATTGAATCAACGTGGAAACAACGTCTCTCATGACATTGAAACAACGTTGATTTTGCTCATCGAATTAACGTTGAACCAACGTCAGACGCGGCATTCTTCAAAGCTAAATGAAAATTGAAAATTGGTTTGCTTTCATAACGTTGAAACAACGCGTTGATTTCAAGTTGATTTTCCGTTAGTTTTGAAAGAATGACGCGTCTGACGTCGGTTCAACGTTAATTCGATGAGCAAAACAACGTCAGATCAACGTTGTTTCGATGTCATATTTCCACGTTGATTCAATGTCAGTTTGCTATCTGGGTGTGTGGCTCAACTTTTCTCTAAAAAATTACCCACTCTGTTAAACCTTGTACAGGCCAAATTCTGACAGTTTTACATTAAAACATAGTATAGTTAAAAAAAAAAAATGCATACTGGGTAATGTGTAGTTTTGAGAAAAAAGCCTACAATAATATACTGTGAATTAACAGCTCGAAGTCGACATAGTCAATCGCTGTGTTCAAAATCGCACCCTATACCCTCATTTACTATTCCCTGCATTAGCTCACTAATATAGTCCACTTGACAGGGTGAATATGTAGCCGGTCCGGGCTCGCGTGTCTCTGTTACTATGACTCTGCTACCCCCTGCGTTGCGTTGTGTTGTGTGATGAATAAAAACTGGAGTCGAATTGCTGGTTCAGAGGTTCTTTGTATGAGTTAAAAATGCAGTAATTATTTGTTGCATTCAATGTAGTGTGTTTAATCAGCCTTCTCCTCGCTTCGCTCAGACCTCCCGCGGACTGAAGCGAGCTTACAATGCACAATGCATCTCATTTACAGCAATGAAGAATATAAAGAAAATAGTAATGATAAATATCATCAGGCGTATAAACAGTCAGTGAAATCATATTTCTCTAAATATACACTGACACTAACCAAACATACATCTTTAAATCACTCACATTTCAGCATTTTATATAACCAATTCGGTTGAACACATATAACAAAGAAATCACAAAAACAATACCTGCATGAGTTGAAAAAACAAACAAAAAATCAGTAATTATTTGTTGCATTCAATGTAGTGTGTATATCACTCAATGAAACCAGGATATAACTGGGGAAATAACAAATACAATAGGATTAAGTAGTCTAAACATTACTGGTGTGCTAAATCTTTAGGGCCTGAACGCCAATGGTGAAATTGCTCTGTTATTCTCCAAAATGAATCGTATTTTTGAGGGCCTAATTCTGATTTTATATTTGTTATAAGCTACTTATTAGCTATATGGCCCTACAGTGTAATGTAAGGATAACCAGAGGTTTTCACATATTGACTTTTGCAGGCAAGAGTAGTTGAAGAAAGTAGTTGGAGCCTAACCAAAGGTGGGGATTTCGCCAGCTTTTTTCTAAATCAAAAGTAGTGCACAGGAGGGAAATGAACTGGAGAGACTGGGAGGGTCATTTGTGGACTGTGATTGAAAATTTGCTTTGTTTTTCTGAATTAATGAGTTAATTTTTCATGAGAAAAAAAGTTTTTGCTCTGTTTTTCTGAATTAATGAGTTAATTCAGAAAAACACCAAAAATAAATTCTCATGAAAAGTTAACTCATTAATTCAGAAAAACAGAGCAAAAACGTTTTTCTCATGAAAAATTAACTCGTTAATTCAGAAAAACAGAGCAAAATTTTTTTTTCTCATGAAAAATTAACTCACTAATTCAGAAAAACAGAGCAAAATTTTTTTTTCTCATGAAAAATTAACTCATTAATTCAGAAAAACAGAGCAAAAATTTTTTTTCTCATGAAAAATTAACTCACTAATTCAGAAAAACAGAGCAAATTTTTTTTTCTCATGAAAAATTAACTCATTAATTCAGAAAAACAGAGCAAAATTTTTTTTCTCATGAAAAATTAACTCACTAATTCAGAAAAAACAGAGCAAAATTTTTTTCTCATGAAAAATTAACTCATTAATTCAGAAAAACAGAGCAAAAAAATTTTTTCTCATGAAAAATTAACTCACTAATTCAGAAAAACAGAGCAAAATTTTTTTTCTCATGAAAAATTAACTCATTAATTCAGAAAAACAGAGCAAAAACTTTTTTCTCATGAAAAATTAACTCGTTAATTCAGAAAAACAGAGCAAAAACTTTTTTCTCATGAAAAATTAACTCACTAATTCAGAAAAACAGAGCAAAAATTTTTTCTCATGAAAAATTAACTCATTAATTCAGAAAAACAGAGCAAAAATTTTTTTCTCATGAAAAATTAACTCATTAATTCAGAAAAACAGAGCAAAAATTTTTTTTCTCATGAAAAATTAACTCATTAATTCAGAAAAACAGAGCAAAAAAATTTTTTTCTCGTGAAAAATTAACTCATTAATTCAGAAAAACAGAGCAAAAAATTTTTTTTCTCATGAAAAATTAACTCACTAATTCAGAAAAACAGAGCAAAAATTTTTTTTTCTCATGAAAAATTAACTCACTAATTCAGAAAAACAGAGCAACATTTTTTTTCTCATGAAAAATTAACTCACTAATTCAGAAAAAACAGAGCAAAATTTTTTTTCTCATGAAAAATTAACTCACTAATTCAGAAAAACAGAGCAAAATTTTTTTTTTCTCGTGAAAAATTAACTCGTTAATTCAGAAAAACAGAGCAAAATTTTTTTTTCTCATGAAAAATTAACTCACTAATTCAGAAAAACAGAGCAAAATTTTTTTTTCTCATGAAAAATTAACTCATTAATTCAGAAAAACAGAGCAAAAATTTTTTTTCTCATGAAAAATTAACTCACTAATTCAGAAAAACAGAGCAAATTTTTTTTTCTCATGAAAAATTAACTCATTAATTCAGAAAAACAGAGCAAAATTTTTTTTCTCATGAAAAATTAACTCACTAATTCAGAAAAAACAGAGCAAAATTTTTTTCTCATGAAAAATTAACTCATTAATTCAGAAAAACAGAGCAAAAAAATTTTTTCTCATGAAAAATTAACTCACTAATTCAGAAAAACAGAGCAAAATTTTTTTTCTCATGAAAAATTAACTCATTAATTCAGAAAAACAGAGCAAAAACTTTTTTCTCATGAAAAATTAACTCGTTAATTCAGAAAAACAGAGCAAAAACTTTTTTCTCATGAAAAATTAACTCACTAATTCAGAAAAACAGAGCAAAAATTTTTTCTCATGAAAAATTAACTCATTAATTCAGAAAAACAGAGCAAAAATTTTTTTCTCATGAAAAATTAACTCATTAATTCAGAAAAACAGAGCAAAAATTTTTTTTCTCATGAAAAATTAACTCATTAATTCAGAAAAACAGAGCAAAAAAATTTTTTTCTCGTGAAAAATTAACTCATTAATTCAGAAAAACAGAGCAAAAAATTTTTTTTCTCATGAAAAATTAACTCACTAATTCAGAAAAACAGAGCAAAAATTTTTTTTTCTCATGAAAAATTAACTCACTAATTCAGAAAAACAGAGCAACATTTTTTTTCTCATGAAAAATTAACTCACTAATTCAGAAAAAACAGAGCAAAATTTTTTTTCTCATGAAAAATTAACTCACTAATTCAGAAAAACAGAGCAAAATTTTTTTTTTCTCGTGAAAAATTAACTCATTAATTCAGAAAAACAGAGCAAAAAATTTTTTTTCTCGTGAAAAATTAACTCATTAATTCAGAAAAACAGAGTAGATTTTTTTTTCTTCAAGTGAATGCAATACGCCTCCGTAGCACTGGGCTCATTCTTGTTGTGAATTAAAAACCTTTGTAGTGTGTAAGGGCATGATTAAACAATAACTACTATTGTTTAACAGTGTTTTTATGCGTTTTGTTAAAGCAATTAGGGATTGCCAAGACCTCTTGCTACCCTCTAGATCCGCCACTGCTGGATTCGCTTGTATAAAGCTGTTGACGTGGCAGAGGAGTGCTTAAAGAGGCTAACACAGTCTTATCCCAAAAAGTCATATAACTGACGTTTTGGGACGTATTTTGACCATACGTCAATATCCGCCTTTTTAGGGCCCCCTTAAACAAACATCGGTAGATGGCGATCCCGGGCCGTCATACAACTGACGCTTTACCTTTAACGTCAGTTAGGTGACGGGGTAGGTTTAGGTCTGGGGTAGAGTTAGGATCCCATAACCTCATCTACCGACGTTTAAGGGGGCCCTAAAAAGGCGAATATTGACGTATGATCAAAAGACGTCCCAAAACGTCAGTTATATAACGTCTTGGGATAAAGAGGCAGGGGCGCAACCTTGAAGATCTAACCATGATGTTCGTTAAGCACTGCCCAGACCCAGCTCTTTCTGCAGTGCTCACGTTCAAAACTGCTGACAAGTGGAAAGCTATGAAATTCAGGAAATGAAATTTGTTGGATTCAATCACTCTTAAAGTTATGTAGATCACACACACACACACACACACACACAAATGACAGAGCAATGCTAAAATTAAGTTAACTTTATGTGGAAATTTTATTTCAACAAACAGAAAAAATTAAGTAGTTTGTACAAAGACTTGTCTTGTTGGATCTACATAATAAAATTATGCAAAAAAAACCAAACAAACATATTTTTTTAAGTAAATCAAGCATATTATTTTTAACAGTGCAAAATTTCTGACTTGGCAGATGTACAGCAGACCCACACTTAAACATGGAAAAAGTCAGATCTTCATGATATGTCTTTTTAATGATCTCCTCTTTATAATTAATTTGTTAAATTATTCAAGCTTAAATCCCCCTTTTGAAGGCAAGCATGTCTCTTTTCAGTTTTTACTTAGATGCATTTTCAAAAAGTTGTCGAAGTCTGCTAAAAACAGCAGATATTTGGTCTATTATTGTTTTTTCGTCTGTTGTTATTTGCCCGGAAAACATTTTTTCCATCTGCACAACATCATTCTGGATGGCCATACTTTTCCGTTTTTCCGCCTCATTTTCTTGCATCAATCTTTTTATAATGTCCTTTTGATCATGTTTTATTTTTTCATCCTGTTGCATTTTTTCCATTATTTGTTTAAGCTGTCCTTCCCTCTTCTCCAGTTCTCTACGTAGTTTCTCTATTTCTCTTTTTAGGGTGGTGTTCTCCTTTAAAATGTCCTTCGGCTCTTTTCTGGTATCGTCTTCCACATGTCTCCTTCCATCAACACCATAACTGTGTCCACTCATTCTGTCATCATGTTCCTCCGAAACCTTTAACAGATCTCTGTCCCCTTCTTCTCTCACTGTCTGTTTTAAACCCTGGTGCTCTGTGCTTTGTGTGCTCTCCTTCTTCCAAGACTCTTGTTCATTTCCGTCCCCTTCCTCAGCATCACTTCTGTTTCTTTGGCCCCCGTTTTCACTTCCAGATAGACTTTTGCTTTCGTCCTGTACTGAATCATCTGCTTCTTTCCTAATCTGTTGTCTTCTTTTGTCTTCACTCTGTTCATCCTTCTTGATGCATAGCTCCACTTTTGGATACATAGCTGTCGCTGTCGTGAAATATTTTTTCTCATTACACGCCACCATCGTATTGATCTTCTCCAGAAGAGAAGAGACTTGATGGACATTGTTTTTGTCTCTGTTGCTGAAGACATGATATCTTCTTCCACATAACTGAATGATTCTCTTCAGATCTGACTGGACTTCTTTCAGGTAGTCTTCAATGGGTCTGCCCTCCAGATCATCCCCTTTGGTGAACAGCACGATCATGTATTTGGTGACTTCATCACCAAACTCCTTCAGGATACTCAAAACTGTGTCTATCTCTTCATTGGTGAATCTGCCGATGGGCAGCACCAGGAGGAACACGTGTGGGCCAGGATGGGACATGTTAATGATATCCTGCTTGATGTCAGTTTCAGATTGAGAAGAATCACACCATCCAGGAGTGTCGATCACTTTGATTGTTTGCCCGTTTACAGTGGACGATCTCAGTGAGCAAGCTTCAGTGACTCGCTCTGAGCTGGCCGCTGAGTGGAAGGACCGGTTATGAAGAAGAGTGTTCCCTGAAGCGCTCTTCCCTGCACCTTGCTTACCCAACAAAACTATTCTCAGATCATCCATTTTAGCCTTCCATTGGACAAAGAAAAAGAACAAATACATGTGAGTCACAAATTACATGTGGTCTGTTGTCTGAACCAAGCATTAGTATTTGTTTTAACCAAATGCTATCTTACTGTTAAACATTTGATTGCATTGATTATTCAAACCTCTATCCATTAATGAATAACTATTACAGTACCTCTTTAGTCTCTGTGCTCTATTGTTGTCCGTTTCTGCTACACTGAAAGCATTTCATGACAGCCTGTGGTTGTGTTCTGTGAAGATGCTCCGCCTCGATCTGTAAGTATACAGGTTAATCTCTGTGCCGGTTTGACAAGAGCTCCATCCACTGGAGCTCACTTGATTCAACAGTAGATCACTGATCAATATTTTCTAGTGCAATGTATTAAAATGTAATGTACATTTTGGTCCGTTCCCATGCACTACAAAACAAGACATTACAAAACAAATTAAAAATATATTTATAATCAGTTACAGTTACATGGTGTCAATATTTTTGTCTAATTAATTGACAGCCCATTCTCACCCCCAAGGCGTCACCTAACTGACGCCTTTGGAAGCATTTGACCATGCTTCAATATCTGACGCTTTAGGCGCCCTTTAGCGTCAGTTAGATGACGCCCTGGGATCGCGTGTACCCTACACCTAAACCTAACCGCGTCCTCTAATGCTACGTTCACACCGGACGCGAATAGGGCGTCAGGCGCGAATGATTTCAACGTTAAGTCTGCTAAGTTCTGCGGCGCGAATGAGGCGTGGAGCGCGGCGCGGAAGACGCGAATACGCCTCATTCGCGCGTCAAGTTGGCGCGAATTGAGCGTTGTGCATTCACGCGTTTGACGCGAATTTGCGTCTGCCGCCCGAGTTGAAAAATCTGAACTTTGGCGTGAATTCGCGCCGCGTTAACCAATCAGGAGCCTAGCTGCTTGCTCACGTGGTGAAGTGTCTGGATGCTTCAATAAATTATTTTGTTAATATGACTAAATGCATGTTGGGATTATGCACAACAAAGCAAATGTTTCATCACTTAAAACATTATCTCTATATGGAGACATGTTCATTTTGTATTGAATGTTATTCATTCCATATCTAGAAATAGTATTATGTTGTAAAGACAATCAACATATGTGCATAAATTCGTGTCTGGACGTGAGAGAGAGAAAAAAAAAAAATCACAGGACAGCTTAATAACTTTTCAAGGCTGGCTCTATTTATTATCAAAACAAAAATAAATGACAGCTAGATTAGATGGATGAGGGCGAGGGTGATCCTCGCTCCGATGCGGGACTACAGGTCATCAAACTGGGCGCGGGACAGGCGGAAGTACCGCTGACAGCGGCCGTCATCCAGCGCAGCTCCTGGAGCGAGCAAATGCTGAAACTCGCCAAACGGTTCGGCTCCGAAGGGTCCGGTGGACACAAATATACGGCGACGATGATCCCCACGCCGCTGTTCTGCTATCCAGAGTAAATACAGAGCGGTAACTCTCTTGATGAATGCTCGTTCGACATAAAAACAATGGCCGCCAACGGATTTTGATTCTGACGCGCGTAAATTTCGCTTCAAACTTTACGCGCGCCAGTTTCGCTCTTGACACGCGAATTAACACTAGTGGTCAAGCGTCAAACTAGACGTGTCAGGCGCGAATTTGACGCGCGATTCGCGTCCGGTGTGAACGTAGCATAACTGACGCTTTCCTTTAGATGACGCCGTAGGATCGCGTCATGTAAGTGACGCTAAAGGGCGCCTAAAACGTCAAATATTGAAGCATGGTCAAAGGTGACGCCTTGGGGTGAGAATGCGTTGCAATTGAAATCATGAAACTTTATATACACTATTAAAACATTATGAAATGGAATTGGATTGTGCTCATGCCTAACATATGTGTTTGGTTTAGAGTTTTATTTTAGTTTATTTTGTTGTTTGCAGTGCCAAATGGACAATAAAAGGAAATTGAAATTGATTCTGAAGGTTTGGACATTTATTTATTTGATTCAAGACATAGGCTCGCGTCAGAAACAGACAAATTAAACCATCTGCGTCACTGCACTGTTCATGTTTCAGTGCTGAAAACAGAAGAGAAATGTTTTAAAGAACCACATGACTATATACATATATATATATAGTGTTGTAGAACAAGCATTTATTCATGTTTGGAAAGTGTACAGTGATGTGCATTTAAGCCAGTGAAAATTACTCCATAAAATATGAGCTCTTCAACCGTAATTTCTATATTTTACTCTCAGGAAAGATCACATTTCAGAAGAAAGTCCTATAGGTATTAACATGTATGACATTATTTGAATATGTAGAGCACAAGAGGGCGCTATTGTCACTTTTGAAATCATGAAAGTGAAGGGAAAGTGTAAGTAAGGCGAGTTAAATATCGAGTGTGTGTCGTGAAGAACCGCTTATTTACTTCACAGCCGTTTGCAGCATCGAGTCAAAAGAGTCAACCGAGATTTTAGTGGAGAGCGATAGGCCTACACACACACACACACACACACACACACACACACACACACACACACACACACACGATTGGCTAGTTGTCTCACAAGTAGGCTATTGTTGTTTTAAATACTTCCACGCATGCCAGCATGACGACACTCTTAGTGTGTTTACTAGTTTTTTTTCCTCCGTTCTGTCACTGATGGAGATTTGGTTCCAGTGCCACTGTCGCCTTTCTACGCCGTTGTCTTTGGGGACATTTTCTATTAAACAAACTTATTACAACATAAAACATTTCCTGTTATCTCTGTAAAGCTGATTTGAAACAATCTGTAATGTAAAAGCCCTATAAATAAAGCTGACTTCAGTTGCCATGTCAACACTATTGATATAAAAATGCGCCAAAATTCAGAAATCTATATAAGCTTGTTTCCGCCACTGAATAAAATAATAATTCCGACTCTTTATCTGACAATTGCGAGAGATGAAGTCAGAAATGTGAGAAATAAAGTCGCAATTGCGAGAAAAAAAAAAAAAAAAAAAAACCACAAACCCATGTCACTACCATATTCACTCACGGTCACGGAGGAGCCCAAACATTTATTTTTTCAGTGTGTGTTTGATCAAATGAGCAAGAAAACGTTTTGTCGTTAGCCTATTGTGAGTGTAGGCCTACTTTACATGAAAAAAGTAGACCTTCTACAGTTTTAAAAGATGATTTTATTTTAGCTGTTATGAAAAAAATAAATTCAAGTGAGCACCGCCTCGTTTGTCGAACAATGTATTAAGGCCAATGAAAAGTATCTGGTAAGAATAACAATGCATTAAATCACAGTACACATTAATTAACCACAATAAATTAAATAAATTAAGTGATGTCTCTAGTCAAGTGAACTATACAAAAAAAAATCAAAAATAACATTTGTTCGAGCGATCAAAAGCAGCAAGCAAGAGCAGATCAAGTGGAATGATGATCAATCGCGCGCGCGAGGGTGTGTGGAATGATCATGCGCGCGCGAGGGCTTGCATCAGTTGTGCATTCGGTTCTTATTGACATTGATTTGCCGCCATATGTAGTGGGAAATTTCACTACAATGTTTTAATCTGTCTTGATCAACTGTGTTCTTCAGCAATGACTGATCAGAAGGCGACTCTAGAACTTAAAGTGTACACGGTAGCTTCCCAGAGTATAATAAAATTAATTAACCCCCTTTTCTACTATCAGCCTACAAGACAGGAGGAATGCCCCTACTCCAAGATGACAGAAATGGTAGATGTGTTTATTCTAAATAAAATAAAGGAAATGATTGTAAATGCAAAAAATGAACTTTTGTTTCACATCACATTCGAATATAAAAAAAAAAACAATCACAGAATTAAAGCTTAACCTAGCTTCAAGCTTAAGTTCAGTCTCTCTCCTTAATGCAGAAATACTCAAGTCAAACAAAATAAAAAAACAACAGCTTCAACAGAATATTCAGGTGAGGATCAGTTCAGTCCGCAGTACATGATGAATATTACATTTCACATCAGATATTTTTTTTCAATCAACATACCTGAGAAATATTCACATCATAACTCAATGTACATTTTACCTCACTGGAGAACTGGGCTGGCGTTGGACTGTCCAGGAATGGCAGGGAAATCAGAACTTGTTCAAAGATAGGAAGTCTTTTCCTTATTCACACACAGGAAAGTGAATGGTTTTCCAAAAAATTAAAAGAAATATTATTTTTCCACAAAGAGTCAGTCTCTAAATGCGGATTCACGCACTTATGCAAACTAAATTGTCGGTACAACAGTCCATGCAAGTGTTAAATTGTTGTAGAATTACAAGTTGTTAAACAAAAATACTGCAAATTGTCCAAAAATGTATTATAGGAAAATATAGAAAGATGAAAAGCAATTCTCGGAAAAAGAGAGGCTATATACTCAAAAATAGGGAGAAAAAAATGAAATCAAAAGAATTTCAGAGAGTCTGTAATGCCTCTTGCGTCCACCAAGCGGCGCTAATGTGTCAGAAAAACTAATAGCGCGAGGATCTTTCTCGAAACAACAGTAAAAAGACCCCACTCGTTCTGAATCTGCCTTATTCTACATCAACAACAAAAAATTACGTCCGTGATTCTCCTCCTGATGTCAACCGTAGTGAAACAACAGTGAAGAAACCTCACAGTACCTCAGCTCCCTCAAATCGGAGACAAACACTCTGGTCACACAACTGTCAGCACGATGAGCAACGCCTTTCTTCTTATCACACAGCCACGTCGTTCAGCTGCCATCACACTTGTGACTCGAGTCGTGACACTGACAGCATAAGCTCGGTACAGCTTCTTGTCCGCTCACCTCGACACTTGTCAACTGCTGTTCACGTAAAAGAAAATAAACCACTAGTAAACTATTTATTTCGTCTTTCACTCAGCTTTACTCGCGCTCCCGATCGTCTCACTCGTGCTCTCCCATTTTTTACTTTTCGCTCCCCATCGCGGTTTCCGTAATTAACTTCCGAAAAAACTTTCAAAATAAAAGTCCTTGAATACCTCTACAGATATGCTGCGTCCCAATTCGCTTACTTATACTACGCCCTAAAAGTATGTACTCTTTTTGTGAGGAAAAAGTACATACTTTTGAGTATGTAGCAAAAGAGTAGGCAAGCTTTGGGACGTACTATCACGTCATCTTTAACGGACAGCTCTGTCGTGCTGCGTGCATCCTGTCACCGTAAACTGCCCTGTCAATCATCTTGTCACAGTTAAAATCCTCCATTCTATCTAATTTTATTTCCTACCGTTTCGGAGAGCACGTTCATCTGCCAGTTGTGGGTCTTTCATGCTCTCCTCATGTGTTTGCAATTTGAATATACTGATGCATTTAAAACGTACCCAGATAGCAAACTGACATTGAATCAACGTGGAAATATGACATCGAAACAACGTTGATCTGACATTGTTTTGCTCATCGAATTAACGTTGAACCAACGTCAGACGCGTCATTCTTTCAAAACTAACGGAAAAACAACTTGAAATCAACGCGTTGTTTCAACGTTATGAAAGCAAACTAATTTTCGATTTTCATTTAGCTTTAAAGAATGCCGCGTCTGACGTTGGTTCAACGTTAATTCGATGAGCAAAATCAACGTTGTTTCAATGTCATGAGAGACGTTGTTTCCACGTTGATTCAATGTCAGTTTGCTATCTGGGTAATGGCTAGACGCGCCTTTACAAAAGTTCACAATGCTGCTGCAAATGCAATATAATGTAGACAACATTGAATAAATTCATTTTCGTTAGGTTAGATAGGGTTAGATACTGATAATTAATCACTCAAAGCTCTTTATCTAAACCTCTCTACACAACCGCGGGGACTCGCGCGTCCTCGTATCGACTACGTGTCTGTAGTTTTTTTTTTTTTTTAACACTTTTTACTCGTGTTTGTAGTTCTAACCGAATCCTCGTCTAACGCGCAATGGTTTGTGGGCAATATCAGCCGTTAGAGCACTTCGGATTCTGACCGGAAAAAGTAGACCATCCGGGTATCTTAAAAACACTCAACATACTACGATTTGGGACGTACTAATTCTATTTTCGAATACTATTTAGGACGGATAGTATGCGAATTGGGACGCAGGGATAGACTTAAGAGCATTGACTATAATGCCCGCGATTAGCTCCAGCATCGGCGATGCTGACATTCTGCGCTGTAGATGGATCCAGTGGATTTTAGGGGTAGGCGAGGGAGTCAAGCCACTGCTGACGGAACGACCCCAGAAGCGTATGAAAACATGGCAAAGTTTTTCTTTTACTGAAGCTGTGATGTTATAGATGAGATTCTGTGCTCTGACCGACTACATGCGAGATGATTCACTATTGTAAAGTCGGCACGAAATCGATTCAATGGCGGAATTCGATACACGCATGTTCCGTCTTTCCCCTGGCAAAGTGATTTTTAATTAAATGCAACACATTTAATCTTATGTGTTAACTCGTTTCATCTGACTCCAGAAAATGAAAAGGTTTATCAATGATATCTGTGCATCATTTAATACGTTAATGCTAGACTATTCCTTTTAACTCTAATGAAAATAAAGTCAAAGTCTGTTAGAATAGCCAAATATAACAATTTATTATGTCAGGTAAATGTATTATTACAATCCCACAAGAAAATAAATGCAAACCATTAAAAGTTTCGAGAACAAAGAACTACCCAACATATACATGAGCTGAGCCTTGAAGACACAACCTCATAGAAAGCAGCCCAGAACCCTTGTTGCATTTCCCTTAAATAGAGCCAGACCTTACTTGATATGTAAAACACCACGTTACAATAGAAAGTTACTTTTCAGCCCCCCAGAAATTTACCAGTAGGTAACCATTTGCTTAGTTGCAAATTGCATTCAGACAAAAGGCAGAAGGTGTTAACTCAAAGACACACCCTTTTGTGTGCAAGATATTTCTATATTCTTAAAAACCTTATTACCTTTTCTTATACTTTGGAAATGAGATATTATTACCAGTCACCCTGAGACTTTCAAAATGAGACTAAACAAACCTTAAAGATTATCACATTCACATTAAAAACATATATATTCTTGTATGTGTTTTCAGTGTTACTGACTGAGAGAGAGAGAGAGAGAGAGAGAGAGATAGCTCAGAGGAAGGGGGTCAAATGTTAATTTTGCCATTGTCTTTAGAGGCCACTGGTCATATATTTTCTCTTTAACCAGTTTTCCAGTCTTTTACACTATAAATCTCATTCACATTCATAGGATATTCAACAAATATCTGCTTGTTCATCATATAATATTTAAATCCGCAAAACACCAGAGAGAATAAAAACTCCCCGTCTGCTCCTGACGTGACGAGCTCATGATCTGTATCATTAATGTGTATTTAAGGTCTAGTTCTTGTAAAGTTGATCCTGCGGTTTATCTTCTCTTCATCTGATGGCAGTATAAGTCACGGTATCATGATCCTGAAAGAACAGATTCTGTCCATCAATGTTTGAACCACAGCGATTATCATTATTAGTGCATGAGCTTGTATCTACTCACATCGAGTGATTTTACTGGCTTTGAAGAGACCTCAGAATAAGTCACATCATCTGTCTACTCCTAAACATCAATGCAAACGTACAGAGAGTCGAGTTTAACACGCATATCTCTCACTATAACATGTAGAAAAACACAAAAGCTTTAAAATCACAGGATTGAACAGACAGTGAGCGTAATGTTTGATGATTTAGTGACTCACATCGGCTCTTAGATCAGGAGGAATGGACATGTTGATCGTCTCATACGTCCCTTTATGTTCATCCACATCTTTGACCTTCAGAATAAACAGTTAAACTGAATGAATGACACTTTATTGAGCTTTAAAGACAATAATCAAATCTAAATCACTGCATTCCTGAACTCACCGCAGAGTCGCCAGTCCCGACTTTATTATCTGAAAACAAGTGCCTCATGAAATACGACTATAACACACATGTGCAAAACACAGAATCTTCACAATAAGATATTTTTGTGAGTAATAAAAACGTCTCGGTTACTTAAGTAACCTCAGTTCCCTAAGAGAACGGAAACGAGTGTTGGGTCTTTGCTATACGCAATGGGGAAAACTCCTTTTCTCAGAATTGTTAAGCCTTTAAATTGTGGTATAATGTCGTTTTCACAAGATGAAAAATAAACCTTTGATGTTCCCAGAGTGCGTACGTGAACTTTTAGCTCAAAATACCCCACAGGTATTTTTATATACAGAGGTTACATAAATAACCGAGACTCTCCCTTTCGAATGTTTACTCGTATTGCATCTTTGCTAGATGAACCAATCTATGTGAGCATAATGACATATTCTGTGGCCCTAGCCTGGGATGCTTGGGTAAGGGTCTCTAGGTGGTAGGCTAGAGAAGGGCAAGTTATCAGATCAAAAAAGGGGGTTGGACTGAGGTCGGAGCCTGCGAAGAGGTTATAGTTGGTTGAGCTCCCTCTGAGGTCAACTCCAGCTAGACAAGTTCTTCAAGTTCTTCTTCACAACAATCTTCAATTTGTAAAATCTGGCGAAGGTGGACGGCGAGGACAAGCCGGCTGCCGCACCGATGTCGCCAACAGACACACACAACTGGACCACGCCCAGGAAGACGCCACTCTTCACGACTCCGATGGGGCATTGGAGGCCCACTGAAGCATAAGCCAACGTGATAGTGTCCACTATCCTGCAGGATAATCACTTTGGTGTGACCAACGCAGCAAACAAAGAGCTGCTCTGATTGTCTGAAATGGACAGAGCACTGTATATATACTCCTAAGGCCCGAGCAGGGCAGAGTAAGTGAGGTTGACGCTGGTCTTCTGAATCAGGAAGAGTGGACAGCGTAAGAACTTGAGCTCTGAACAGACTAGAGAGCACTTTGGGCACATAGCCATGCCGTGGCTTGAGGATGACCTTCGAGTCGATAGACCCAAACTCGAGGCAGGAAGCACTGATGGAGAGAGCTCGCAGGTTATCCACTCGCTTCGCCGATGCTAATGCTAGCAGTAGTGCCGCCTTTAGCGAAAGTGGCCAGAGCTCAGCCGATTGTAGCGGCTCGAACAGGGCCTCTAAGGAAAGATAGATCCCAAGAGGGTACAGTAAGAGGACGAGGTGGGTTGAGCCTCCTTGCCCCTTTCAGGAAGCGGATGAGCATGTCGCTTCTACCCAGAGACTGGCCGGCCACCGGAGTGTGATGAGGTCTTGTAAGAACGAGAGTACCAGAGGTACTTTGCATGATAAAGGGTCCACCATGGTATGAAAAGCTAAGCCCATTTAGCCAGAGGACGTGTAAGAGTCACGCCTTTATTGGACGAGCCACCTTTCCACTGCACCATCAACCGTAATGAGAACAGTGACCCTCAAGGAAAAAAAGGTGCTCTTCGCTGGAGAGGAGTCTGCAGGCGCCCCGGCTGGACCCAAACATCATCGCAGCTGCGAGCGTCAATACCAGGCTTGGTGTCATTCATGTCTCTAGGCGGTGGGGGGGGGGCGGGGTCATCCACTGAGCTCGACCAATGCAGACCACTCCAGTCCAAGCTCTTAAAACTCTTTGGAAATAACACGTTGGCTGCCATAGACACGCTGCTTAGCTACAGGTTCATGCCGTTCCCATTGACAAACCAACAGATTTGCTCAGATCTCTGCACTGTTATAAGTGTGTAGTGGAACTACTTTTTTAATTTAAAGGCTTCAAAATTCAGAGAAAAGAAATTCCCCCCCAGGCGACAAGCAAAGACGCAATACGAGTAAACGCTTTGAAAGGGATCGATTGTTGTTTGACTTGATAACTCGATGAGATTGACTTTACAGGATTCCTCAGCAGGAATAAACTTCTGTTTGAGAATTGAATATAATCCACATGTTTCTATGATACTTCCAGTCTAAACATGATGTGTTTGTTTGCTCATCTGTACTGTTTTTAATTGTTGTAAAGGAGTAAATCTGAAACTCACCAGCTGTTTTTCTGCAGATCAGCCAGAGAAGAGCAAGAAGGAGAACAGCGACTGCAGCGACAGAAATCCCTATGACTGAAGAAGAGATCGAGCTCAGAGTCAGAGACGGACAGGTCAGATTGAGGACAATTAGACAAAAAACTGTGATTATGAACCTGTGATTGTAGTTGAATGATCCTGAGAGTCTGTGTCTGGTGTTGTTGTATTAGCTTGAGGTGAAAAGGATGATTGAGGACAATTATAGACAAAGACAAAAGCCATCGGCACCGAATGACATTTCAAATGATTCTGACTCTGAGATTAATGCCATGTGATTTATTTATTGTTAATTTCTCTTCTTTCAAGAAACAAAAGGAAAAAGTCATCTCAACTCTAACATACTTCATTATTTAAATAATGTGGTAAAGTGTATGTGCCGTAAATTGTCACGTGCCGTAAATTGTGTTTGAGTTCTCCCACCTGTTCCCTCTTGATTTGTTCCCTATTTAACTCTCCTCTTGTTTGCAGTCCTTGTCGGTTCATTGTCATATGTCTCCTGGTTTGGCCGCCGTGTTTTTAGTCAGTGTTTGTTTTGAGTTTCAGTTGTGTTCATGTTTCTTTGATTATGTTTTTCCCCCTTGTGGGTTTTTGCTTTGTATTTTGTTTTCTTTTTGTAAATAAATCATTTTCTGCATTTGAGTTATCCCTTCCCGTTTGTAACGTGACAGAATGAACCGACCATTTTGGAGAACTCAGCAGTATTGGTAGCACACTGGGACAGAGATGGATGTTGACGATTGCATGGATGACGATCTCTTGGACTGCCCGGACTATATCATCGTCACATTTGGGTCAACCCAATTTTCGTCCATCTGCAGGGACAGCTCAGGACCCACTTCTCGCCGTCACGGACGGAAAAGGAGGAGGAAATGCTCGTCTGGCCAGCGAGAGACTGCTCACGTCCCGTCTGCCCAGCGAGAGACTGCTCACGTCCCGTCTGCCCAGCGAGAGACTGCTCACGTCCCGTCTGCCAAGTGAGAGACTGCTCACGTCCCGTCTGCCAAGTGAGAGACTGCTCACGTCCCGTCTGCCAAGTGAGAGACTGCTCACGTCCCGTCTGCCCAGCGAGAGACTGTTCACGTCCCGTCTGCCTTCCTGAGCTGTGACTATCTGGAGCGGCTGGCTCGGATATTGGAGAGGCCGGTGTCCAGTGATTCGGAGCTGAACCCAGAGTCCCGTTCCAGAGCCAGAATGAGCAGAGCCAATGCCCTTTTCAGAGCTGGAGGCAGAGCCAGTGCCTGTTCCAGAGCTGGAGCTCATGTCGGTTCCGGACCAAGTGTTTGTGTTTGTGTCTGTCCTTGTGACTGTTTCTGTTCTAGTGTCTGTTCCTGAGCCAGTGTCTGTTCCCGAGGGGTCTTCACCGCCCTGGCTGCCCCAGAGGTCTTCACCGCCCTGGCCTCCCAAGGGGTCTTCATCGCCCTGGCCGCCCCAGAGGTCTTCACCGCCCTGGCCGCCCCAGAGGTCTTCACCGCCCTGGCCGCCCGAGGGGTCTTTACCGCCCTGGCCTCCCGAGAGGTCTTCACCGCCCTGGCCGCCCGAGGGTCTTCACCGCCCTGGCCGCCCGAGGGGTCTTCACCGCCCTGGCCGCCCGAGGGGTCTTCACCGCCCTGGCCGCCCGAGAGGTCTTCACCGCCCTGGCCGCCCCAGAGGTCTTCACCGCCCTGGCCTCCCAAGGGGTCTTCACCGCCCTGGCCGCCCGAGGGGTCTTCACCGCCCTGGCCGCCCGAGGGGTCTTCACCGCCCTGGCCTCCCGAGAGGTCTTCACCGCCCTGGCCGCCCGAGAGGTCTTCACCGCCCTGGCCGCCCGAGGGGTCTTCACCGCCCTGGCCGCCCGAGGGGTCTTCACCGCCCTGGCCGCCCGAGGGGTCTTCACCGCCCTGGCCGCCCCAGAGGTCTTCACCGCCCTGGCCTCCCAAGGGGTCTTCACCGCCCTGGCCGCCCGAGGGGTCTTCACCGCCCTGGCCTCCCGAGAGGTCTTCACCGCCCTGGCCGCCCGAGGGGTCTTCACCGCCCTGGCCGCCCGAGGGGTCTTCACCGCCCTGGCCGCCCGAGGGTCTTCACCGCCCTGGCCGCCCGAGGGGTCTTCACCGCCCTGGCCGCCCGAGGGGTCTTCACCGCCCTGGCCGCCCGAGGGGTCTTCACCGCCCTGGCCGCCCGAGAGGTCTTCACCGCCCTGGCCGCCCGAGAGGTCTTCACCGCCCTGGCCGCCCGAGGGGTCTTCACCGCCCTGGCCGCCCGAGGAGTCTTCACCGCCCTGGCCGCCCGAGGGGTCTTCACCGCCCTGGCCGCCCGAGGAGTCTTCACCGCCCTGGCCGCCCGAGGGGTCTTCACCGCCCTGGCCGCCCGAGGGGTCTTTACCGCCCTGGCCGCCCGAGGTGTCTTCGCCGCCCGAGAGGTCTTCACTGCCCTGGCCGCCCGAGGGGGTCTTCACCGCCCTGGCCGCCCGAAGGGGTCTTCACCGCCCTGGCCGCCCGAGGAGTCTTCACCGCCCTGGCCGCCCGAGGGGTCTTCACCGCCCTGGCCGCCCGAGGGGTCTTCATCGCGGTGGCCGCCCGAGGGGTCTTTACCGCCCTGGCCGTCCGAGGTGTCTTCGTCGCCCGAGAGGTCTTCACTGCCCTGGCCGCCCGAGGGGGTCTTCACCGCCCTGGCCGCCCGAAGGGGTCTTCACCGCCCTGGCCTCCCGAGAGGTCTTCACCGCCCTGGCCGCCCGAGGGGTCTGCTCCGCCCTGGCTGCCCGAGGGGTCTTCACCGCCCTGGCCGCCCGAGGGGTCTTCACCGCCCGAAGGGGTCTTCACCGCCCTGGCCACCCGAAAGGCCTGCTCTGCCCTGGCCGCCAATGGACTATGTGTTTCGCCTTGGCCGCCCAGGACTAAGCGGTCTGTCCCTCCCGTCACGCCCTGGTCTGTCCCTACCGTCCCGCCTGATGGAGCGTCTGGTAGCCGCTCCGTAGGGAGGGGGTAATGTCACGTGTCTGTCCTGTCTTGTGTTTCACATGGGTGTTTTGTTATGTTGGGCCATGTGCCCCAGTCATTGTTTGATCCCTCCCACTCGTGACCTGATTAGTGTTTTAGTTCTCCCACCTGTTCCCTCTTAATTTGTTCATTGTCATATGTCTCCTGGTTTGGCCTCCGTGTTCTTAGTCTGTGTTTGTTTTGAGTTTCAGTTGTGTTCATAGTTCTTTGATTATGTTTTTTCCCCCTTGTGGGTTTTTGCTTTGTATTTTGTTTTCTGTTTGTAAATAAATCATTTTCTGCATTTGAGTTCTCCCTTCCCGTTTGTAACGTGACATGAATCATTTATATTTTCTATTAAATTATGTTAGACAAAGCTGTTCTGTGAATAACATCAAGACTTAAACGCATCAGCATCATCATGTACCTTGTGTAGAAGGACTCACTGCTGTTGTTGGATCAACTGGAGCTGTGGAGATGAATGTTTGTTCAGATGATTCATATTATCAGATTGTGACAAGTTAACACAGGATAACTTATATCTAACACTCATTAATGAGAGTGTTTTCTCACCTGAATACTTGACAGTGTATGTGACTGAGGTCTGGAGCTGATTTTCCCGAGTAAGCTGACATCTCCACTCTCTGTTCTCATCTTCATTCAGGAGTGTTGTAGTCAGAGTGATGATACAGGGATATGATGATGATGATGATATCTGATATCTGGAGTCTGTCTTCAGATCAACACCAGCCTGATTCACCCACAACAGCTCAACTCCCCTAGAACTGACCCGATCATCACAGGAGTATCCAGTATATGTATACAACTGACAGGAGAGAGTCACAGAGCGGCCTGGACTGATCTCAGTCTGAGAGGATGAAGATGATGATGATGGTGATGAAGACACTGAAACTGAACACAAGACACAAATCACAGACTCTTCAATCATTATCTGAGTTTAAAGGGAGAATCTGCTCTTTTTATATTGAACACATAATCAGTGCTCGAATTGAGGGGGGGCTGGGGGGATCCGGGACCCCCCATAAGGTATTAGGGACCCCCTATAAGAAGTAAAAAATAGAATTAGGGGGGTCCCTCAGATATTTTTATTTTAGTAAAAAATAATAATAACAAATCTGATTAAATGCGTGCAATGGATACAGTAAATTTATTATTTACAATATATTTTTTTTTAAGTTGGCTAGTTGCCATGTCGCTTTAAAATGTAAACGTCCGCCCCACCTCTAAAGAGTGCTGTGCGCATGACATCGTTGACTGACAGGACTGTTTGATTGGCGCTGCTCCATTGAAGCTAATTTTAACGAAATGGAGAAAGATAAACCTCCACTCGAGGTCGAGAAGAGAAAGCTTCTTACCGACTTTTTTGAGGGGTAATTGTCTCTAAATATATGTTTCTACTTTATATCTACCCACACCATCGGGGCTTCTGTACTCCTTGCGTAAATTGGAAACATTTAGGCTTAAGTTACTTTTTTTCCCCATTATTAATAGCCCTGGTTCTACGGGAGTGCTATCTCGACAGTTTTTCCGCAAAGGGAGCGATCGTTGTGTGCTTTCTAATTTCCATTCAGAATTTGTATAAAACTTGTTTTTAATGTTGCCAGGATCGGCCACGTAAACACAAAGTTTTGGGAATTACATACGCATTCACTCTTAAAATAGCAATAATTGACATTGATTGGCATGGCATTGTTTGTTTCTGAATAAAGCAGCCTTTTTCACTGAAATCATGGTCGTTGAATAGACGCTTTCAGCAGTGACAACATAAACAAACGGTACTGCGCATGTGCATTAATTTGGCCCAAACTTAACTTCCGGCAGACTTGCGGAGACAATCCAGAACAAGTAAATAACCTAGTAGCTGGTATTTCTTTCCAGTCAAAGAAAATAAATGTTACCTGGCCAAACTGAAATGTGACACTACCAGACCCGTTGAACAAAAATTGGAGACAAGATGTTTTTCTACCGACGAGTCTGAGTTACCGCAGTGTTAAAAAAAAACTGTGGCGAGCGCGACGGCGGGGTTTGATCAGGTTAACATAGCTCCTTATTAGCTAGGCTACTTACATGCTTGCTAACCTTTTTTTAAGGTGGGTCTCCACATTGACAGCATGTTGGATGGATCTGTGCAGCGCTGTTTATGATACTAACCATTCAATACACAGACTGGTCCGCTGTCAATGTGTTTGCGAGAGAGAGAGAGAGAGAAAGAGTGAGAGCGTGCGAATATGCGCTGCACGCAACTCTGTAAGTTAGTCAATTACAACTTTTCCCATCTTAAATTGTTAAAAACACGGAAATCAATATGTGGCGGTCAGCGCTGATAATGTGGTGGGCTGCCACTAATAAATGTATGGGAAACACTGTACCGGTTATCACTCAGATAAACATAGCCTATTTTTAATTCCGCCGTCTCCCTCATAGGAAACCTTGACATTTTTATTTTTTAAAAATTGCGTTTGCTCCCAAGGTCAGGTTGCACCCCACAGCTCACCAACCTGCTCATCGCCTTAACTTTCACTGAAGTCGCTCATTGTATTAGGCTATAATATCTAACGTTAGATGATAGAGCATGTGACTGCCTGTTGCTATGGTTACTCACAGCCGTTGTAGGCAGCGCATTTATTTATTAATTTCGAATGGTAACCCAGATAGCAAACTGACATTGAATCAACGTGGAAATATGACATCGAAACAACGTTGATCTGACATTGTTTTGCTCATCGAATTAACGTTGAACCAACGTCAGACGCGTCATTCTTTCAAAACTAACGGAAAATCAACCTGAAATCAACGCGTTGTTTCAACGTTATGAAAGCAAACCAATTTTCGATTTCATTTAGCTTTGAAGAATGCCGCGTCTGACGTTGGTTCAACGTTAATTCGATGAGCAAATCAACGTTGTTTCAATGTCATGAGAGACGTCGTTTCCACGTTGATTCAATGTCAGTTTGCTGTCTGGGAAACAGGCAGTTTCACCAGAACTACTTTACTAGGTGTCCTCTATCACTTTTTAACGGACACCCTGCAGCCAATCAGAATCGAGTATTCACCCAGACCATGGTATAATATCCAGTAAACACTAATAAACGAACAGAACGGAAGTTAACTTTGGGCCAGCTCATCACCATGGCAACGCGTCTGATGAAAGCGTCTATAGTTGCTGACCTACTGAGTGCTTTCCCGCCACCTACTGGACGTAACTATGTAAAAATCGCATGTGCTGAAATAGTCGAAAAATCCCCACCATATAATATCTAATAAACAAGTTTAATCTATTTAATCAAGTCTTTTGGAACAAACATTGTTACCACAGTGTCAAATAATTCACATTAATCATCCAGTTGTTTTTAGGTTAAAAACAACATTTGTAAATAAATCATTCTGTTGGATGTACTCAACTGTTCAAAAGTCTCTTCAAAAAGTGCTCACCAAGCCTGCATTGATTTGATGCAAAATACAGTAAAAACAGTAATTTTATGAAATATTATTACAGTTTAAAATAATAATATAATAAAATATTGTTTATTTCTGTGATCAAAGCTGAAAACCATCGTTTCTCCAGTCTTCATCATGATCCTTTAGATCTGAAATATAAACTTTTGTAGCATTATACACTACCATTTAAAAGCTTGCGGTCAGTAAGAATGTATTTTTAAAAAATGTTGGGAAATAAATTAATACTTTTATTCAGTATGATCGCATTAAATTGATCAAAAGTGAAAGTAAAGAAATTTATAATGTAACAAAAGATTCTATTTCAAATAGAAACTGTTCTTTTGAACTTTCTATTGATAAAAAATCCTGAAAAATAAAATAAATGTTTATTACATAAATGTTTGTTGATCATCATATTACTATTAGAATGATTTCTGACGAATCATGCGACACTGAAGACTGGAGTAATGATGCTGAAAATTTGTGAAAATTCTGCTGCCCTCTAAATCCAGTATTACTTTAGTAAGCAATTTAAAATAATAATTATATATATAGCCTATATAATTCTTTATCAAGCGATTTTAATACATTGTATATATTTATGCATATTGTGTTTAAATATATACTATTTATTACCCCCCCCCCCCCCCCCCCCCGGAAAAAAATTGGGGACCCCCCATATAACTTGACTCAATTCGAGCACTGCACATAATCATAAACTTACCATGAAGAACATGCAGAAAAACACGTGCATCAGTTCCTTGTGGTCTGTTATCCACATATTGTTGGCAGATGTATAATCCATAATCTTCTTCTGTGACGTTCTTGATGTTCAGAGAGCAGTCAGACTCCAGACTCAGTGTCTCATGTCTCTCTGTGTCGTTCTTCTTTATCCCTAAAGTAATCAGATTAACTATCCCTGAAAATCTGACCATGTTTAAGTAGATCCATGATGTTGATTTGCAGTCAGAAAGAGCTTTATTACAGGACAGAGAGACATCTACACCAGAACTGATGAACACAATAGTCTCATCCACTCCACTGGTGCCTGAAACACAGTAGATCTCAGTGATCATTATGATATATTAATAAATGAAAAGATAAAACATCCCAGCATAACAAGCAGAAGATTTAAATCATAGTATTTTTCTTCACTTAAAGCAAACATCACACTCTCCAGAATAAACTATGAGTGTTTATCAGAGCTGTTCAAATCACTGACACACTCTTAATATGAAGATCATTCTTCATCATCAGATGTTTGAGTGACACTATGTCCAGTATCAGGAATAATACAGTATGATCTGTGTGTATCAATACACAACTCTGAGATCACAACGTGAATGTGTGCAAGAATGTTCAAATGAACTCTTTCCAGACTAATTCCACTAAATGCGTTTAGAGAAAATACAGATTTCTTTACCTGTGAGAAGTGAAGAGAGAATGATCAGTCCCAGCAGACACAGATCACACTGATCAGACATTTCTGCTTCTGTCCGTCTTCCTCTTTATTAGATATAGTGACAGCTCTTCCTCTTCTGCCTAGGGTTGCCACCTTCAGTGAGGCAAAATAAGGGACACCCATACACCAGATAAATAAATAATGAAATTAAATAAAAAAAAATGTGTCAAGGGTATGGAACTGATTATTTCAACATGACAACTTGAACAATAAACCACGATCCAGGTAATCAAGAAGACAAACTGTTAAAATCATAGAGCAATCGTGTAATTTTGAGACACGTTATTTTTCCCCCACAACAAACGCATTTTAGCCTATAGGTAACTATAAAGTCTTCTCCCTGTTCACCAGCCACTCGCTTTCATGTCTTTCGGGAGAAATGGATGGATTTACGTCACGTTTTGTAAATGACAGACACGTAGCCCCAAAAAAGTGTCACGTGACGCTTGATACGTCGCCATGATTTTCTAGTACAATTACTGTCGCGTTAACAAAATAATTTAACCAGGGACTCAATATTTTAAACTTAATTTTCCCAATGAACAGTTACTTTTATTTTTTAAATCTGCATTGCCACTCTTCACATTCAACCAATCAGACAACCGACCAATCAACATCCACTAAGTTTGAATAAATATGATAATATTATATATTATATCACATTTTTAAGACAGTAATTTGTGCAAAAAGCACTAATGACTTGTTTAAGACTTGAAGCTTAAACTCGAGGACTTAAAACTTGACTTGGACTCGTCTGTCATGACTCGGGACTTGAACGCAAGGACTCGAGACTAGTGACTTGGTCTCACCTCTGAAGATTTATGACAGACATACACTAGAGAGAACCTCCTGAGGGCAATGGAGCTGGCCTGTGTTGACATCCCAGTGGAGGCCTTCCCAGGATGGATTCATTCGCCATTCCAGGGCGTTTCTCCCGCGGTGCCTGGCAAGAGACAATATGGCCTGCGATGTGGATGAGGTGATGTGGCCCGAAGCAGCTCAGCGACATGATGGTGGAATTTCACAAAAACACATTCCTTTGTCATGGCAGACTGTCAAACGCTGGTGCGAGAACCAGGAAACACTCAGGATCTTTTGTACAACAACTTTAAACTTATTGCATTTCAAAATTCTGATAATTGTAAAAGTATTATTCTGGTTAAGTACCGACTATATACAATGAATATCATAGTTTATGCTGTTCGCTTTATGTAGGAGCCAAATGTAATTGTTCCACCACTAGATGGCGGTGTCATCTGTGGTGCAGGTGAAAACCACACCTGATCCATCACATGGTATTTAACCCTTGTGCATCCTTATGGACATTTTTGTCCTTTTCAGTTTTGTTTTTTTGATCACTTTGCCTGTGTTAAAGCTAACTTCAAAAAAACTTGGCACAGGTGTGTATTTTTATTGGAATTTTACTATTTCACCGTCATTTACTTGCATTAGGTACAATAATACTCCCTCTCAGCACCTTTTGGACAAAAATGTCCCCATTAAAACTGCCATTTTTAATCCCCGGTTCAGTTAACTATAAAATTATGCAATCTTTGTTAAGAGGCTTTCATTCTGATGGCAAGGCTTCAACATTTTATTTTTTACTATTTTTTATCAGATGGTGCCATTTTTTTTTTAAGTTTGGCCTATAAAACAAATATCGCTTTATTCCTGTTTTCTGCTTCGGGATACTATAGAGCCAACTGGATAAATTATGCAACAATATTTGTGTGGGTGTGTTGGTATGGATGTCAGAGTGTGGTTAGTATGCGTGTTATAAAAAAATGTGTGTGTGCGCATGTGTGTGTTTGTAATACTGAGAGAGAAAAACCGCAAATAACAGTTTTGCTGCCACCCAATGGGGAAAATATGTCACTACGCCCAAACAAACTGTTACCGAAAGCTCATTTTTTGAGAGATCATCCTCAAATTTGGAACACAACCTATTTAGATGTATGGCTTTGATTTTATTGCAGTTTTGAGTTCAACCTGATTTTAAAAATATATATTTTATATAAAATATTTTTTATAAATAATTTTCATAAACTTATACCTATTTAACTTTTTTTTTGGATTTACTTATTATTATTATTTTTTTTACTTCAACAATAATCTGCAAAGGGTCTTCTTTAAAATGATCCCAAACTTAAGTCTGTGCTCCAAAGCGTCACATTTTTAGGACATTTTTGTCCTCTTTTTACCTATGTGTAACTTTTTTTAATTAATGCACAAGGGTTAAACTGACTTGGATTGAATCAGAAGGGGACAGGTGGTGGGAATATATGGTTCTTACCATAGAACCACCACTGGTATGTAAAACTGTAACATCTTATTAAATGGACTAAAATAACTGTTGAAACGGATCTGTGAAGAGTTTTAAGCGTGAGGAACACCTGACTGTAACGGTCACCAGGTTTCACTCACAACTACATTTCCCAGAACTCACTGCCCGGACTCATCGTCACTGATCACATTCACCTGTGCCTCATTCACTGATTGCTCTTAAATAAAGCTGCATTTGGATCCTCATCTCCACGTCTCGGAGCAGTTCGTAACACTTACTGTCTTGGGCTTGGACACTTTATTTAAACATTTCATTTTTGTAGTTCAAAAGTAATTGGTTCATGTTAAACTGCATTGAAAGGTTCACTCACTCTTTGACTTCACTTGCTGTTTTCATTTTGAAATAAGTTTCAATCTAGTAACCCACCCAGATAGCAAACTGACATTGAATCAACGTGGAAACGACGTCTCTCATGACATTGAAACAACGTTGATTTTGCTCATCGAATTAACGTTGAACCAACGTCAGGTGCGGCATTCTTCAAAGCTAAATGAAATCGAAAATTGGTTTGCTTTCATAACGTTGAAACAACGCGTTGATTTCAAGTTGATTTTCCGTTAGTTTTGAAAGAATGACGCATCTGACGTTGGTTCAACGTTAATTCGATGAGCAAAACAATGTCAGATCAACGTTGTTTCGATGTCATATTTCCACGTTGATTCAATGTCAGTCTGCTATCTGGGCAGTCATTCATGTCTCACACTTCCCATCATGCTTTGCACAGGGCTGAAGTGGGAGGTACATTTTTAAATAGTGATTTTTTATTATTGTTTTTTTTTTAGCAAGATGTGCAAACGGAGAGACTAATGTTTGACGTTCAATTATGTTGGCATTTAAAGGTTTCTGTTATGTTAGTAATTTAGTAAGTGTTGAGCCAGTGCTTGGATCGAGGATTTCTGATTAGATTAATAATACAGCGACCACTATGGAAGTACAATAGTAGAAACCAGTACTGATGGCCAACACTGAACACCACATGTGAATATGACCACATATCTCCCAATTTTGCATAAAAAAATTGACTCATCAAATCGTTTACATAATATTTCCCATCCAGGCGTTTTATTTTGTCAAAATATTTTTTTCCCTCTTGACAAGTTAATATTAAATGAGCATAGAGTTTGATTCTAAGTCATTTTATGAGGGAGGATTCATTTACTGACATCAGAAGGGCCTAATTTCCACTTTCCTGTATATATTTTATTTAATGAACCCAGTGTGTTCCTAAATCATTTAAAGATAGACAGGTAGGGGGCGCTACATATCCAACTAAATATGCCATATGAAACCCAACCTGGTTTTATCTTGATTACAATGTCAATGTTTATCAATTACTTAAAAAACATCTTAGGACTTGTCAGTTATGTCTAAACATGTTTAATTATCCATTTCAAGGCTTCCTCTTGTTCTGTATTTGACTGCAGGACTTGCTCTACTTGTTTTTTTCTTCTGACAGTTTGCTGCCAGCAGCTCTATGCCTCATCGTGAACATTTTTACATTTGTTTTTTTTAATTTACACTTCCATCATTCCAACAGTTGGACTGAAGGAAATCAAATCTTTAGACGTTTATGATTAGATGGATCCTGGGAAATCTCCCTTATTTTCAATGTTCAATGTTGACAGCTCTCCAACTTTTGGTGTAAAATGATCAATCGTCTGAGAATAATTTATCCGTTTTATTGTAAAATTTGGTGTGAAAGAACTTAAAAACTAAGTACACAATTATAAGAAGGTATCATGACAATGAAAAACAAACTTTTCATAAAAAACAAAAACAAAATCTGTAAGAGATTCTCACCTGTAGATGCAGAAGTTCCCTCTGATGTTCCTGATTCACTCACTCCTCACTAATTGGAACAAATAAAATAATAAGAGAACATGAATTATACAAGACAGGGTCCAAGAGTTCAAAGAATTCGATTCATGTTCCAAGAGTTCTGGACCGTGCAGAAATAGTTATACGTGAATCCATCAGAGCACTGGGCTAGCACTGTGTGTTACACCCAGGGGTGTAGTCTAGTCTTTTGTAATGAGTATACTGTGATATACCAGCAGACCCCCCCCCCCACCCCGCCCCTCCCCCCTACCCCACCCACCCATTTTCAAAAAAATTTAAAACTTTTGTGATATTCTTTTAAAATTCTGTTTTAATAGATTTGATTATTATTATTTTAAAAAGTACATTTTACTATGCAGTTTCTTTCATAATTCCCTCGAGTTACTTTATTTATCTCTACAAACTTTTATTTTGGTGGGTTGTAAATTGAGCTTCTGTGTGTTTTAATAAACCATTATTATTATTATTATTAGGCCTACTTTAAGTATGCTATACTGTGCAATAGTAATATATTTCTTTTATATTTTCTTCAAGTTATACAAAACTTTGATTTTGACAGGTTGCATGAAGCAGGGGCGTCACTAGGATTTTCATGTTAGGGGTGCTAAGCCCCCAATGAGGGTATGACTTTTATTTTATTTTTCTTAAAAAAAAAAAAGTAACACTTTAGTTTAGGATCTAATGCTCACTATTAACCAGTTTCATTACATGCAAAGGCAGGGTTTTATATCTGTGGTGCCGAATGTGAGGTAGGGCAGGTTAGTTAGGGGGGTATGGGTTTCCCCGAGAACATTTTGATTTCTCTGCATATGTGCATTTTAGTTCAGTCAACTTTATTAATCCCTGAAATGAAGAGGTTCGATAGTAGACTAATTTTAATGGATGTGAAACGCAGCAGGCAGTCGGTCAGAACTGTATAAGATGAGGCTTAGTTGAACAGACACACCAGGCAGGGTTCAAACTTCACTTATTTACTGAAGAGCTGGTTGATTTACATATGGGGTATGTAGGTGTGGTTCTATAACAAATTAAACAAAGAAATAAACATTAACATACATATACATCATTAATAATAAACATTATTAACAGCATTCAGTCTAACAAACCCATTAAGGAAGTGCTATCAGACAGAATAATAATTCTAAACATCACCACAAGGAGGTGCTAATAGCACATAAATGCGTTTAACTAGACATTCCATATGCTCAGTATACGGCGCCGATTACCTCATGATAATGATCATCTCTAAAGTAACCGTAAAACTAATAATAACATAATGTCTCATACATAACATAAAGTAACATGCAGAATCTCCGAAATATTACTAAAGAAGAAGTAATACAGGCAGATTTATGCCAATCAGGTACCGCTCGCGCTAATGAACATCGTCTAACAGTTTCTGCATACTAACGGAAAAACTTGGAAATATAAACTTACTTGGTATGTACGCACACAGCGACTCAATGTATATGTAAACCAGCTGAATAATCGTCGAACACTACAGATTAACTAAACTGAAACTGTCAAGTATCTTAACTAATAATTATGATGCGTCTTCTCTCTCCGACTGAATCCACCTCAGCACCAATTCACCTCAGCACGAATGTCACTATGGCAACCTTGTACTCTATGATTGGTTGAAATCGTCCAGGACATTTAAAGGTATCCGGGCCTTTTGTACAGCCGCCCCCGAATTCAAGAATTGAATTCGATCATCTTGAAAAGGCCTACATTTTGTTCTGGTCATCCTCAGGTAGAGCTGGAAGCTGGATGAGGCGAGCCGCAATCCGCGTGTAAGTCCTACCCTTAACATCTATGCTGGCTGTCCGGACCCGCCCATCGGTGCCTGGAAACACCTGAGTGATCTTGCCTACTGGCCAGAGAGCACGAGGAAGTTGGGGGTCGACGATCATGACCACATCTCCACTCTGCAACGACTTCCTCTCAGTCTGCCACTTCTGGCGAGCTTGGAGACTAGGTAAGTAGTACTTGAGAAAATGTCTCCAAAAATGGTCAGCCAGCAGTTGGCTGTGGCGCCAGCGCCTGCGACTCAGGATCTCGGACTCTTGGTAGACTACCTGAGGTAAGGATGCGTCTCTTTGGAGATCAGCACTGGAAGAGTAGGCCGCCCCGTGAAGCTTCTGTCCATAGGCATTCAGACACTCTGACAGTGTGTTATAGTGAGGTGACTGAAGTGAGTGTGCAGTTGTGGTCACTAACCCAGAGAAAGCTGACTGTCTCAACTCACTGCTTGACTCTTCGAACGACAGAGGGGGCTGCCCGGGCCAACTAGCCGGTGGCAGCTTGAGGAAGGCTGGTCCCTGGCTCCAACGGCTCCCTGTAGCAAGGTCACGTAGAGGCTTGCCTCGAGTGATGTCATCCGCTGGATTGTCTGCAGATCTGACATAGCGCCAGTTGGCTGAAGCTGTTATCTCTTGGATCTCCGCCACCCGTGTTCCTACGAACACCTTGTAGCGACATGAGCTGGAAGTAAGCCATGTGAGCACGGTGGTGGAGTCTGACCAGAGCGTAGTGGAGTGAATGGGAATTGTAAGCTCTGTATTCAGGAGTTGGGAGAGTTGTGCTCCAGTGAGAGCGGCACACAGCTCTAAGCGGGGTATAGATTGCTGCTTCCGGGGCGCAACGCGGGATCTGGCGGCGACAAAGATGACTTCCACTTGACCTTCTTTGTCCTCTGTCCGCAGATAGGCCACGGAACCATACGCCTGCTCAGATGCATCACAGAAAACGTGGATGTCGTATCTACAGGACTGGTGATCCATCTGTGAGCTGACATAGCACCGAGGTAAGGATATCTTCTCTATCCCACTCAACTCTTTCTCCCACTCTAACCATGAAGTAATGAGTTCTTCAGGTAACTGCGGATCATCCCACTCGCGCTTCTTATCCCATAATCGCTGGACCAATACCTTCGCCCGGGTGGTGTAAGGGATCATATAACCGAGAGGGTCATATTGGCTGGCCAGCACGTGGTAGATACTGCGCATTGTCACAGTAGAGCAGCGGCTACCTCTGTGTTTGTAACGTAGGGTGTCAGACTGACAATGCCAGTGTAGTCCGAGCGTAGACTCATGGGTGTCTTGTTGGCCATGACTAAGCCAGAGGTCACAGGTATTTGATCTTGACTCAGAAGAGAGGTGAGTAACCACTGACGGGCAATTACTGGCCCATTGTCGAAGCTCAAACCCTCCGGTGGTTAAGAGAGAACATAATTGGTCAACTAGGTCTCTGGCCTCTCTGGGAGAGTGAAGACTATGTAGACAATTATCGACATAGAATGATCTTTCGATTACCTCTCTGACTGGGTCCCCAGACTGGCTGTGGTCTATGACATGCCTCTGCAAGGCATAGGTGGCACAACAGGGACTGCATGTGGTACCAAAGGGGAGAACTTGCCACTGGTACACATCAGGGGGTTGTTCTGGCTTCAGGTCACGCCACAGGAATCTGAGGAGGGGCATGTCATCAGGGAGCAGCCTCACCTGGTGAAACATACCTCGAATATCACTGCTTATGGCCACCTGATGCTCTCGGAAGCGGAGCAGAACTGCTAAAAGGGATGAGCCAAGCGTGGGTCCTGGAAGGAGGAACTCGTTAAGACTGTGACCTTCATATTGGAAGGAGCAGTTATAGACAACCCGATTCTTGTTGTTATGCTGCACCATATGGTGAGGTATGTACCATGACTCTGCAGAGCTCATCACTTCCCTTGGTTGCAGCTTGGCTATGTAACCTGCCTCCTTCAGCCTCGTGATCTCCGCCTGGTAGGCCGAAGCCTGATCTGGATTCTTTAGCAGTCTCCTCTCGACACTCCTTAGCTGAGGAAGAACAGCTTCTTTGGCCATGGTTAGCTGTGGCATACTCTGACTCCTCAGCAGCGGCGTAGCATACCTCATAGTCCCTTCCACCTCCACTCTCACAGTCTTCTCCTGCAAGAGCCTAATAGCTTCTTGGTCCAGCTTAGATCTCGTCACCACCTTGTTGCTGCGGTACGGACTCACATCCATCTGCCATAATCTCTCTACGTGAGCAAACAGATCTGCGTTAGGGAGGATAGAGGTAAAGAAGCACTGGTGTGTGTTAATCTCACGACGAATCTCGTGGGTAGGACCTTGAAGAGTCCATCCTAGGCGGGTCTTAACTGCAGCAGGTCCACCTGGTGGGCCTAACCGGACTGGTTCAACAGGCGTAATGAGGTGTGGGCAGTCTGACCCTATCAACAACATCGGCTGCACTTTATCCATCTGCTGCAGTGGAAGGCCTGTTAGGTGTCGATACCTCTTCTTTAAGGAAGCCACCGAGTAGGTGTGTTCAGCAAGACCTAGTTTCTCAGCTGTAAAGGCATGTTGGATGAGATATTTCTTGTGAGGATGAGACACAGATGATACTGTGAAAGAAACGGCCGCCCCATGAATCACCTGCTGATCTTGTCTCACTGTTCTGAGTATCAGATCTTCTGATTGTCCTTTGAGATTCAGCTGCAGTGCGGCTGCTTGAAGGAGGATAGTCCTTTCAGACCCGTCATCAAGCACTGCATATGTCTCTAACGATGCATCTCCATTCGTGATGATCACCTTGCTCACCTTTAACATTACTCTACGACTACTGACAGAACGGTCAACGTACAGGATGTCGTTTGTGGTACTCACAAGACAGGAGTTCTCTGGGGGTGGGAGCGTTGTACTGTCAGTCGTAACTTTATCATTCACATCATGCAATATAAGGAGGTGTTTCCTGTTGCAGGTCTTGCACAAGGCTTTCAGTGTGCACCTGGAAGCATGATGATTGCGGCCACATCTCCAACAACGATTATTCTTACGAATCCAGGCCTCTTTCTGGTCTCTGGTTAATTCTTTGAAGTTGTGACATCCATTAAGGAAATGACTGGCGTTATCACAGTAAGGGCAGTAAGCACGTACCTTCTCTTGATACCGTGCAGAACTGGACCGGGACTCTGGAGCGGACACTCTGGTTCACTGTCTACAGCAGGCTTCTCTGTACCCAGCAGGAAACTTGTCGATCGACCAGGAGACTTGGGGTTGTAACGGCCTTCTCGCTTCTTAATAGCTAATAGTGGAGCATAAGTAGCTGTCTTGGCAGTGTCGTCTTGGACCTGGAGCTCATACTCTAACCAGTCT